TGAGAAATGAGAGACAGGGACGTAAAGCAAGAGATAGCTATAGTTTCCGAACACTTCCAGCTGCTTTCTACATTTTATATTGCTGATTCAGCGCGGTTTATTTGCGACCAGTCATTCGAAGCCGTTTCAGAATGCACTCATTTTTGGAGCTATCAACTAAGTGTTACCTATCAAAATATAACATATGGAGGCGTGATATAGCGGCAGTCAACTGCTCTATACTTTTCAACACTATACAATGCCCGGATACAACGTATTTTGGTAGGCGTCTGTCCGCTAGTTTGGTAATAGTGGAGTACAAATCATCAGTATGTTAAAAGTGGTAGCGGTCACACAAATCGGAGTGACTTGATTGAGGATTTGCACATCACAGGGGCTGAAAATATCGAGAAGCACAGAAGGCGCCCAATGACATAAAAACGGGTCTATGGCAGTCATTTTGCCTTAAAACCTAGGAAGGAAGGACAGTTCATTCTATTTGGAGACAGTGCGAAGGAAACACGTTTTCTTTACAGAGATCTCCCTTTCTCTGCCACTCGATCCCAAGGGACGGATTGCAAGCGAAAAGATCAGAAAACCTTGAGGAAAACGTTTGTCCTCCGTAGCTGACATCAGTTATGTTATACGTGACGTAAAACCAGGTTGCACTCCATTTTTGAATTTTAGTATCCACTTTATTTCTCCCCTTGCCAACGCAGACTAGTTTCTCTCAAAAGGCTGATAAGGAGCCGGCTTAGTTCTATTTGAATCCATGCAACATCAGCTGAAGCTCCCGGAGGTCCTTCAAAACACAACTGGGCGCATCATCAATCCATGCTCTTAAGCTTCAACTAGATATCATCCCGGAAACGGGGACCTTCTGCAAGCGGGTAACTGTGCTCCCCGGAAGGATGTTCTTCCGTATGTCTGTCATTATTTTTGATAAAGCATTTTGACGTCTTCAAGTTGCTGTGAACCGAAATATGAAGTAGCTTGACTAATGTGATGCTCACGTTAACCACTTATTGAAGTGCAATCAGGCTGCAGAAGCACCATTGCTCTGATAGGATGACCTCATCCTACTAGCTAAGACGGAATTTAATTAGAGACCTCATTCCACTGAGAGTTTTGTAAACCTAACGATCTACCCACTTCTTGTTGTACAGTAATCCTTGTAGCATAGAAATTCTGCCATAAACAGGCCATTCATCCTGTAAAGTGGATTATGTAAGTTTTCGTTTACTCACATTATAAAACATTTGCCAGAGCTTCCATTAATTCCCATAACGCCTGAAACCTAAAACGCTCGAAGAATCAGGTAAGATGCCTACTCACGTTTCGTAAACAATCGGTCATGTGTGTCTGCTATGGGAGAAGAGCTTGTTCCGCAGCAGACTAATGGTTGGCAAATGGCTGTCATTTGTAAATCCATCATGCCGTCCTTGGGAACATTCAGCCATGAGTAACAATCATTTCCCGGGAAACAGGGGGTTGGGAAATTTTTACGTAATAAAGAGATCTATTCGATCAAATTGCGTATGAAAGGGAGTGTGTTTTTCATCTACACCGACATTTACTGCGCTGTGTTTTACACGTCAAATTCTGTTTCTTTGATTGCCTGTCAATTAGTTCAACAAACGGAGGAGGGTGAGTTTCTGGACAAAACGGTTGTTTTTTTATTTAGGAGGGAATAACCATGCAAAAGAAAAACTTGTTTCTCACTCGAGTCAAAATGTAGAGTATGCATACGTATTTGTGAGTAGTGAATACGGTCAGGAAGCGGAACCAACTTACTTGTAATGTTTGCTCAATATCAGCGGTTCTTTCACTCAGTTCGGATTCAAGCAAGCGTAGTTGTAGGTATTTTTTGCCTACTCGGGCACGGTGAGCATCTTTCGTTTCCGGACCAATCTGCCTTGACTGAGTACGCTCCCGATCCATTTCTTCGATTGCATCTTTTTTCTCTTCGAGCCAATCTTGTACCTGCATTGCAAGAGTGGATTTGGATAGTTGTAGGCTTGTGGAAGCAATCACAGCTATTGAGGAATGTGGTAGTTCGTATGAAACCCCCGATGGTATTACATGGCGGTAGAGCAATATCTCACGTAGAAAGTCCCTAAAAGAACTTTGTAGGTAAGGTTGATTGTTGAGCTCGACACAGATGAGTGGTTGCAGGTGAATCTCTCGCCATAACCAAATTGGCATGAAAACATGTGCATTTCGCTAATTTCCTGCTATTTCGGTTCAAGTGGAACATAAGGCTGGCGGAAACTCGAAAACTGCGCCTATCTAAAAAGCCCCAAGAAGAGTAAAACCAGTCATGACCTGTCAAAGAGATTTCAGCAAAATTAGGAGTAGTGTATTACGCCAAAGAGCCAACACTTTGAGCTGTCCTCCTTATTTACACAGTGCTGATGGTGATTATAAAATCAAAAAGGACGTTGATGCGGAAAACTCTGGATTCTTCCAAATTTCTTCTCATTTCTATCTGCTTTGATACAAATCAAAAAAATATATTGAAGTGCTAAACCCCGTTTAGATAGATGTCTTTTCCACATCTATGAGATGGTGATTAGCGGTTCAGACTACAGTCGGGTATGTAAGCATAGGTGAACGGAAGCCAACTGGTTACAATTAGTTATTACCACTTTGTTTCATGAAAAAACTTTTCGGAACGGAGACTCAATCATAACAACTTAAACGGTACAGTCACACAAGACGTCGCTGATCTTTTTACCATTTCAAACGTAAACGAACGTACATCTTGGAATTTTCGTCATCATACATGCAATCGTTCTTAATTCGCAACTCACGGATTCTTGCGGTTGGGGTTTATAAAACTCACCGTCTTCAGCCGAATTCCCAATATTCTCGAAACAAACTACATGCTATGCAAAGCAAACACTTCCTTTATTTGTCTCGTCACTCCTCAGGCTGCCGAGTCAACGTTTCGAATCGGAGATTAATCTTGTCTGCGTACGTGTGTTCGCAGCCTGATAATGACATGACTGCCAAATATTCAAGGCTCATTTACCCCACGTCACTCTACCAGTTTTGTCTGGTTATTTGCTAGGAGGGTGGACACTAGGCACTGTCGGGTGGCAACGTACTGACTGGTTCTTATCGGACTCTTAATTACATTTCAGCTATGAGGCTTTTTGTTGACGACGTGATGAGTGTGGGATTCTGCAGAAAAATCGGTGCAAATTACTCGATTGTGTATTTATTATACCAAATGGCGCAGATAACAGGATTGTTTTTGAACCTGGTCACCGTTCGCTAACAATGAGAAGAACCAACAACACAACAATAAATGTATTGTGAGGAACAGAAAACCTGGAGATGGATTATTACTGGTTACGGTTGGTGTTAGATCGTAAAACTGAATCAAGTTTTACAGGTTGCCATGTAAAAACATGTTTAGTCTGATAATGACCTCACATCGATTAGCCCAGCAACTAAGCGGTCATGCGTCCAAACAGGTAGCAGTATTGGAAGATGAAGCGTTCTCTGCGACTTTTCGAGCCCAGAATTTGGAATGTAGGGCTAAAATTTCAGCTCAATGATGCCTGCAAAACCAGTTTATTGTTTATAAGGATAAGGAAGTTAACAAGGTTAACTAATAAGCAAGATGAATGTATATCTTGAACAGCCCGCTACAATGAATGGAGGGGGTGAAATTGAGGATTATCCGAGTAATGTCTACTGCAGTTCACTGAATCTCTAGCCACCAGAACTATTTTCATGTTGTCTGATTCAATGACTGTAACTGGCATGTGGTTGACACGATCAATATCGATTCAAATTGTACTCAGTAATATGGCAGCAAAACTCGACATTACATGGGGTAATGAAACAGTGACGGTTTCATCTGTGTACTTATCAAGTACTGGACTAGCGTTTGATCGACTGTTGCACACTACTCACCGATTCCAGTTGTTGCATTGCATTCTGCACCAAAAGCATACCCTCAATCGACCGTTGCTGAACTTCAGCTTCACGACAGAGAGCCTCATATCTAAAAAATAGACAGAACCGTGTCTCCGATGAAGTGTGATGAGTGAAAATGAACCCCAAAACAAGCAGTTTATCGGAGATGTTCTCATTAGCCTTTGGGGCATACCATCGACTCTGTGAACAACGTGATCTGTGTTCGACGTTACCGACGATGATTCTCAACATAGGTGGCACATGTGAACACTGATGATCGGCTTTGAAAAATGGGTTTACTTTGCAGAGCTTCATTTGACCACATCAAACAACACTACTTCGATTTCAACTTTATGAACTCCACTTTTGTATAAAGTACAAGTATCCAACTTTGGATCATGTAAACTCTATTTAAGTAGTGTATTAAGTCTACCGCTGTATTGTGGTATCGCGATATTGCACCAACTGAAGCATAAGGCAGCCTGGTTCAGCACATTCAGTTGACTGAGAACTTAACTGACAACAGATTCATACTGAGTCTAGGTGAGTCTCCCGTAAGAACCAAACTGGTAAGTCGTAAAATAACCAGGTTTAAAGTAGCCAAAACCAGTCTCTTGTGCCTGGCTTCTATAATTAAAGGTGTACCACATCAAAATTGGTTGCGCTATATTCTAGTGGTTTTCTTTATTTCGATCAATGCCGCTAATCCAAAGTTTGGTCCCGAGGCGTGTATAATCCGGGATTTAACGAAACGCACACTTAGGTTTAAGGAAGAGAAACATGCGTGTTTTTGAGCTCAAACTTTCATGTTATATCTAAGCCGGGAAGTCAGGTGGTCGGACAGGACAAATAGTTATAAGCAGATACGCACACACGTTCGCATGAAACTTTAAATAAGAAGGATAGTTTTGCGTGTATGACGCAATATACGTCTGATTAAGCCTCTTCGTCGGAACATAGTCATTCCTATTAGATCGCGTGAAAGCAGAAGCACCCGGAAACCATACATTAGTGTAAACTGTGATCGCCGACGCGTCGTGCAAGGTGATTTCAGTTGTATCGTACTACATTTCCATATGTACGGTTATTGGTTAATGATCAGAAGGCTGTTGCTTGGTTTGCCGAGCCTGGAAACTGACTTGCAAACGTTTCGCCGCCATAAGAGGAGACATCATCAGTGCGCAGTTGGGTGGTCCCTAGTCACACCTATGGAGTTTGCGCACAGCTGTATCGTAGGAGGTAGAAGTATCGCAATTAATTGCTCAGTGTAAACCAAATATGCAGAAACAAAACATTGGATAGAATAAACCAATTTCGCCATTCTTGGGGCTCGTCAGGTAGGCGTCTACCTGATGAGCCTCAAGAAGGGCGACCTGGTCGTGGGCTGTCGAAGAGTTTTCAGCAACCTTGTGAGTAGTTTCTTTTATGAAAATATACTGCGATATCTCGAATATCGTGCCAACTGAAACATAAAGTGGCCTGTGTGCAGCACATTTAGTTGTAGAGTATCATAAACGAGAGATACGGTTGAGTCACTTATGAAAACCAAATTGATATGCAAATGAGTTTATTTCTCTAAAACACTGGATAGCCTGAGACGCACATCGGCAGCTCAAGTTTAGTGGCCTGAAGCTCAATTCGGTCTTGGTATATAAGAAATTTACTAGGAAGTATTTATCCAGTTAAGCAATTCCTACATTTCTTCGAGACAACTTTGCATTATAACTCAGTTTTCTAACTTTAACGTTCAACTCTACTCTACGACCAAGAAATCCAAGCAATTAAAGTAATTGTCGACATCCACCTTAAGTTAGACCTTCCCTAAATTCAAATCAACTTTGAAATAATCATAAGACTGTGGAAGTTAGGAAGCTATCTCATTCTTTACCAACCACAGTATACAAATACTCTATTAACCAGATAAACTAGTATACATTATCTCTACGAGCTTGTTAGACCTGTTGGATGCTTCGTACGGCCTTGACGAAAAAACTATTGCAGGTGTTCGTCAGACAGGTGTGAAACGAAAGAAGATCCACCTGGCTAATTTGAAAATTTTCCATGTCCTGAGGCATCACAAACCCACATGTACGGGTTTCAGTTACCCAACAAAAGAATATCTACCCAGTTTTGATAAAATATTAGGATAATTTTGGTTATTTCCTATTTTCGGGGTACGGTTGATGCGGAAACCCTGTTCCGTTTACAGACTTAAACCCCAGATTTTGTGTAAAGCTACGTAGAACCGCAACCATTCCGTCAGGATAATCTGCTCACGTCATTTCAATTTCCGGAACAGTTAGTTTTTCATCACCCTAGTAATCTGCACATCTAAAGCCAAAGTATACTGCTGGGATGAGCAATGCTCAAATTTGACGCTAAAATGGCACAGGGTTCAAAACAGCGGTCAACTTTGTTTATTCCAATAGTAGTTGGAGAGAAATTGTAAAGTGCTTCAGACCAACTTTTGGCAAGACGACCCTGGAGGTGAGCACTAGGTAAGTCCCTGCGCTGTATCCATCTAATGGGCATCCATCTACTGATCATGAAAAAAAACAGTTCGCATGTCGTTTACTCGGAGCAACGCAGAAAACCCTAATAGTAGACATCTTATCTCTCAACCGAGATTGGACCTAAACCCCGTCAGTTATTCTCCGACGAAACGATTGTGAAAATTAACAGGGATTTGCCAGGAAAACCAACATTATCAGTATATTTAGCCAAATGCGCGCTACCAAAGATGTTAACTGCTTACGTAATCGAAGCGACTGTGGCGGTGTGAAATTCCGTGGTAATCTTTCGGGTCAATACAATAAAGACATCGGTCTTTAGTTTGCCACCAAATTTCAGTATTATTCGAAAAGCAAAACAGTACTTTTTATACTTGTACTAATTGCTGGGATGTCTCCTCACACTAATCGAAGATAGACAAATGTTCAAACGTTCCGCTCTTATAAGTCACCCCTCAGTAGGCTGAGGATATCTGCGAATTAGTCTGACAGAGTTTCGTTCTACACCCTTGACAAAATAATAAGGACCACTCATATGCGTCACTGTAAATCCACTTCTAGAATTTGTAGGTGAACCACCGATAGAGCAACGAATACCTTTGGAAATGAACCCCTAAATTTATTATAATACTGACTCGATTTGGGGGAAAATGTTAGAATATGGAAAATGTCACGCCATTGTGATAAGGGACCCCTCGGCATTGTTCTCTCTGAAGACATTTTCTGTACTTCCCAGCCGTCCGATTCTGCGCCCTTATAATCTACTTCGGTTTATCTCTAATGAATCTGTGTAGCGCAGGCATTTTGGCTTCTGTTTAACTTCTTTTATTTAAATCCTCGGAGAACAGTTATTTGTAAATTAGGTTGGTGTTCATGGGAGATTCTACAAAATCTCAGCGAATCTATTGTTTATGATACTCTCCAACTGAATGCGCTGCAAAAAGGCTGCCTTCAGTGTTAATCGATACGATATTCTAGATATCGCAGTACATTTTCTGGACATAAAACATTACACCTAGTCGATGAACCAGAATAACAGCAGATCCGGCGATTGACCGTCGAGCAGTTTCCAGAAGACTAGTGTGAGACTACTTAGTCTTCCTCTATGGTCATGAACCATGACGCCTTTGGTTTTTATGAACTCACTGATTTATGCGTCTAGCTCATTTATTCGGTATTTACCCACTGTCCTCATAAACTTTTGACACTGAACGTTTCGAACCAATTTTGACGAAGAATTTCCAGCAACCTAATGAGTAGTGTATTGTGTTTATACAATTTTGACGAACTTTTCCAGTGCACTTTTGCGTCACCATGTGCTGTGCGTTTGTTGTTAATTCACATGGATTTGCCGTTCTTACCAGGCTTTCCTTGGTGTTGCACCAATTTGTGCAATTATTAGACAAAAGTCCCCATCATTTGAGGTTTGTTTCCTTCTTATTTACACATTACGTACATGTGGCAACGCATTTGCTTGACAAATCCTCGCTTGTGTTTTCGCGCGTCAATCAGTTGGGCTACAGTTGGCTACAGAGTATGAAAACAAGTGTGAAAGTTCAACAATTCCACAAGGTGAAGCAAGAGCCATACGCGGACGATGAGATGGCCTGACCAGCTGCGTTGCCTTGAGACACTTTCTCTCCTGGCCATTTTGTCCTTCATTGTGGCCGATTATACTCACAACTAATTTCAACCACAAAAATAGTAAACTGCACTTATCCAACCTCTTACTTTCAGCTCAACCAACTACTAGAGTCACTGGTAGTCAGACGAATTTCAATTTGGATGGATCACACACACGGGAATTAGGAAAAGGAATGAGACTCGTTTAGAATAGACCAATTTTGATCCAGAAAGTACACTTTGGATTGTCTGTCATCTCACTAACTTGTGATGAAAATTCAGGCGGCTAGACAAGTGCTTGCACACGTTCTAGTGGAAGCACACAAATGTTTGGATAGTGTGCGATGAAACCTGTAATCATTTGTAAGCTACGTGCGTTTCACTGACGGACCCAAGCCCTGCGTGCAAAAGTGGGCCTGACACCTCTGTGTATGGCGATCTTCCTCGCTTGCTTAATGGCCTACCCTACTTCGGCATTGTTTGACCACCTCGGATGTCTCCCAGACATGTGAAAAGGAGCTCTCGTTTTGCGTCCCTGACGTTGATCTTTACTTTTCAGGCAGCTGTTGCAATTTGACGTGATTGGTCTTTATTTTTATAGCTGTTTTGAGCCCTCCTGGGATTTCCAACATAATGCAATAATTAACCGTGACTAGCAGTTAAATGGACTTTAACGGCTTACTGCTGCTGTTCCCTGGCACGAGTAGACTTTAGGTTGGAGAATTCAACCGAGGAAAGGCATCCTCGGAGTCATCAAAACCCGGTTTTCATACAGCTGCTGTAGTCCGCTATCTACCTGACTGAGCCCCACTGAAGTATGGTACCACAACAATTACATAAACATACCGTCTTTCGGCACCACAAAACAGATGCAACAGCGTGAAAGTGTCTATCAAATTATCATCCGCATATTCAGCATAGTTAACACGGACCGACATGTTTAGACAATCAGAACACAGAACCTTGAAAGATGAGGTGATATCATGGAACTGTACCGTGGTTTTGACATTCCCTTTATTCTTTTTATTTTAGGATTATTCCATCCATTGAATAACTTACTGTCCTTTTTATTTCGGTATGCTAAAGCATCTAACAGTTGAGTAATGTCGATAAGAACAATGAATAATGCATGATAACTTATGGGTGGCATAAATTACAAGACAGAGAGTAATTTTGAATAAATTTGCAGATGATCAAGGGACGTTCCAGGTGGTATTCGAAGAATACAGATTAGGTATTACTAAGTACTTGTAAGGGAGGCCGGCATAGAGACACATGTAGACTAGTTGCTCCCTCGGTGTTTTACTAGTTACTGAGCCTGAACACATGCATTTTGACAAAATGAAAAATGCCTCATGCATAAAAATGACTATTTCTTTTGACCTCACCTTGATTTTAGGTTGATTATCCTATTCTGAATTTTTTCCATTGGTCCGACTCGTTTGAACACCAGTTTTGTTCCGGATCGATAGACGTCCTCAACTTTGTCCTCACATGCCTTCAGTTTCTCAACAATATTGATCTGTTCGGTCAAAATCCGGCGGAGTTCTTCTTTCTGAGAATGTTGCTGCAAATAGAGGGACTTTACTACCAAGTCGGAGCATATTTTACCTGTCCGACTAAGCCATACTGATATATTTCCACTATTTACTATGCATCTTGTTTATATAAGTACAACAATTTAGACAGATGCCAGCTGACTCCTCCTACAAGCTGAAAAAATCAATAAACATCTTTCTTATTTCAAAACAGACTACAGCCGCACAGTACTTAAGTTCCCCTCACAGCCGTATTTTGTTGGATTTGAGTAGGTCCATACTCGACGTTGCTTGACAGACAGACGTCCCTGAGGTTTTCATTCCACGTTTTCGTGAACCATACCCCGACATCTATTGGTATGCGCTGGTCTACGGAGAACGTTATCACCGATGTCGTTGACTGTTCTCATTTCTACTTCCCAAATTTGTAACCACACTTATGATGAACGATTTGCCAAGAGCTCCTTTAAGTAGAAGACCTCGGTGACTTGGAAGTTACAGAGGAAATTGTGCCTGCTTGGTTCGAAGTAAAAAAAATACACTGGAATTTTCGGTTTACTTGATCACTTTTCTTAAGTGTGCAAAGCAAGACTTCCATATTGTACGGAAACTACATTAAATTTGGCTGTTGTAACCTCATAAATTGACCAATGTCAACATTGCGCTATCTGACTAAATTTCTAGAGCGTGGGAAAACAAATGTTTAGAGAAAACAATCGCCAGGGTAAGCTAAATTTGACCACTCCCTCTTTGTATCCACCTTTTTAGGATAGAAAACGGTCGTTGATGACGGCTTTTAACAGTTTTGGTGCAGTACTATTGTACATTGCATCTATTTACTAGTTTTTCCACACACAGCAATCTTGCTCAAGTAATCTAGTGATCTGAAAGTAAAAAATAAAAATCGGTATCCCAGCGAAAATTTCAAAATATCACGAATTTTTCAAACCTCTTCAAACAATGTTGAACAGCTAACCAATTATCTTCGCTACATCCCAACAGGGTGAACAAATTCGATTAAGTCTACCTGTCAGATCCAATTGAATAGGACAATAAATGTTTTATGGAACAAGAGGAGTCAATTTATGATGGGCATTGAACACAAACGCAGAGAGATGGAAAGTCCACCTACCAGTAATTCCCGATCAACCATTCGATTTGATTGCGTTCCAAAGATTGTCTCGAGTTGTCGCATCTCGCTGAAAAGTTTCTGTGATAGAACAATGTGGGTCATGTGGGTGAAGAAAAAGATCCTGATAATGAAAGATTATTTCACGACCACAAACTTCATAGTTCCGATCAGCACGTTCAGATACTCCGACGGATCTGCGGAGCTTCTCTGGCTACAGTTGTGAGTTCATCTCTCCGAAGGATTAGTAAACGGACAAATTTTACCAATAAAATGATGTTTAACAGAGTTGAAATATGTGTGAAGGTCACCGGATATATTGATCCGGATTCGAATTACTCAGAAAGAAACCTCATCATCATTGGCCTACACTTACAACATCAACCTAAGCATCGGAGACAGCAACACAGGGTTGAAATTGACACTTCACTACCGTACAAGTGTATCTAGTTATGCTTAAAGCCTTAAGGTGGAAAAAACTGAAAAGAGTGAGTTTCGGCCTATCACAAGCCTATCACACCTCCAAGCGCTTAATCAGACGATCTGGAAGGAAACTGACAAGGTTAGTGTTAATGACATAGATATGCCGTCGTTTCTTGCAGTGACCACAACCAAGCATAAAGAGCCATTGGGGACCGCATGCTGGGAAACAGGAGGCACCAGCAAGATCTAAACCCTTCGTAATATCTTTCACGCCTTTCTACCAAGTCATAAATGGTAAACCTTGCGCCATTCTGAAGGAGACAAGGAGAACAACTTTTGCCTCGGTTGACGGTGTTTTGACATGCATAGCACATGACTGAGTCACCGTAGTTGATGGTGCTGGATGTTTTCCAGGACTGAACTATCTGCAGCACAACCAAATACGCGATTTTCAAGTTACCTCTTTAAAAATTCATTCATACCAGTAACATTTCTGAGGCAGCAGTGATAAAGTACCTGAAGGCGTCTCACATTATCTTTTCAGAGAGGCCGTGTCTCTCAACCGTGAAGCAATGCATCCCTTACTGTATTCCGTTACATTTTGCCCTAGATACCAAGTGATGTATACTAACAAGCCATCCAGAGCAGTGAATACTGTGGAGCCAAGAAACTTTTTACAGCTGTTTCCGCCATATTAGAAATCATCATCAATGCGCACCTCACGAAACTCAGAGGATTTTGAACCGGTGACCTTTCGGTCTTTGGTCTGAAACTGAGTTTTCGTTGGATGCGCACTGCAGACGGTTCCTAACAAAGAGAGGATAAGTGTAAAGCGCTTATTGGCTTTTCAGTATTGATCGTCCTCACTGAAAAGACAAAGTCTCCATGAAATATCCCCACATATTCAGGGCTGTATTTCTCACCTGAATGAGCACATCATCCTCCAGCATCTTTTGGCGATGTAGCCACATTTGGACAACTTCCATCCAGGTCGACTCTAACCTGTCCAGACGCTGGTCGAGTTCCACATAGTGTTTGTCAGTCTCGCCCGATGTGATGCACCGCCCATATTGAATTAATTTGGCAAACTCTTCTCGTCTATCCTCCAGCTCAGCTTTGAGTTCACCATGTTCTCTTAGTTGTGCATTTGCCTCGGCAACCGATTGTGCCTGTTCACTGGATGCAACTTCATGTAACATTCGTCGAAGCCAAAGCTGATAGTCATCCAGACCCTGAAATGTTGCAAAGCGGTAAAGAATAGTGAACGTATGGATTCACACAGAGGCAGAATAAATGCTCAATTCTACAGACAGTATCAAAAAGTTTGATTTATACCATCCTGACATACATCCTTTAGTCACATGCTTTCCAAAGCTTAACTTAACTTTTTAATGCACTACTCATAAGGTTGCTGGAAACTCTTCGACAGCCCACGAGAGATTTCGCTCTTCTTGCGGCTAATCAGGTAGGCGCAGTCCCCGAGTTTCCGTCTACTTGAAACCAAATTGCACGAAATTAGCGAATATTCACTCATTTGCAAACCAATTTGGAAACAGCAAAACCGAAAGATTCAACTGGGTTCCAGGTGGGTTTCTCGGAAAACCAAATTAGTTTGCAAACGAGTGTATATCCCTTAACTTGACTTATTTTTTCATGTTAAACAAGCAAACGTTAGGCGAATGGACAAAAGAATTGACAACAATTCAGTCAGCCCTTGATATCAGGCGTGATTTGCATCATAGCTAGCGTGATAGTTGGATATTAAATCCAGCTAGCACGGCTTTCCTCAAAAACTGCCGACAAACTGCATTGTTTGAATTATGTTCACGGTAGTTCGCACTAGTCTTTGATAAACTCTAAGTATATTGGTTTTAGGTGGGAGGGTGCTGCGGTTTCCAGATTTCTGGAATTGGTCCCAAGGAACCTTCACTGAGAAGTTATCTGTCCAGCAAAGAAATAACCGTTCCATGTGGTAATTCAAATAAGTCTGTGACCGTGCGCCAAGCCTGTGAAAATCTCACCTGTGTTCCCATTTTATAAACGTGATCACAGTTTAGCTGGAGTTTTGGTGGAAGGCCCTGGGGCTAGTTGCTGGCAGCAATTAAATCACTCTAATAGTCGGAGTGAATTTAATGCTATCAAGCTAATTGCATTCGAAGCGACCAGATGCTTCGCTAGCAGAGGTCTCCTACTTTTCTTGCGTATTCGAACTCTGCCAAACAGGAGCTGATTTGAACAAATCAGAAACTTTGTAGGATACTCTCAGTGACCAGAAAGTACGTCCAATTACAAAACACTGAATGGTCGTTTTGCTGAAACAAAGGCAGGGATATCACCTAGAGGTAAGACTGAACAGTTGATCTTTAAAGTGGATATTTTGCTGGTTCCTAACGGTGTGGACAAAGCTGCGGTGAACCGATCATGTTCAGATGCTATTTTAAGCCAAATGTTTATCATTTTTAAGGAAATGTTTTATGAAAGTTGCACCTATTGCACAAAATTTTTGAAGAAATCTACTTATAGAAATACACTCATTCGCAAATCAATTTGGCTTTCACGAGAGACTCAACTGAATCTCTCGTTTATGATGTTCTACAACTGGATGTGCTGCACACAGGCCGCCTCATGTTTCAGCTGGCACAATTTTCGAGATATCGCAGTATATTTTCATGAAGGAAACTACTCACAAGGTTGCTGAAAACTCTTCGACAACCCACAACCGGCTTTGCCCTTCTTGGGGCTCATCAGATAGGCGGCCAATGTGCAGCACATTCAGTTGTAGAATATCACAAACGATAGATTCGGTGGAGTCTCTCGAGGAAACCAAATTGATTTGCAAGTGAGTGTATTTATAAAAAACAGTCTAATTTGGGTTCAAGTAGAACATGAGGTTGATGGAAACTCGGGAGCTGCGCCTACCTGATGAGCCCCGAGTAGGGCGAAACCGGTTGTGGGCTGTTTTTTAGCAACTTTGTGAGTAGTTTCTTTCATGAAAACCCTAATTACAGTTAAGGGAATGGTCATTTTGGAGTTATTTTCCTGGCATCGACAAACTATGTTCAACATTTGTCCGAATAACAGAAGATTTGAAGAGAATATGAAATTACGACCTAATATTTCTTAGCGGAAAATTAACAAGTTAAGAATTACTGTACAGCTGTTCAATTGTAATTCAATATCCAGAGCGGATTTCAATCCAGTAGCTTTCCAGATAACCCTTACTCATCGTAACCTAGAAATAAAGGTGATAAGAAGTGGAGTTAGTGTGAGGCTAAATACATGGTGGCACACTTGATCCTCCACCATTGCACACTCACATCACGTGACATTCCGCTTAACGGGTCTTTGAGTCTTCAATTTCCCCATTCATGCCTCGGAAAAGTTATGATGAAAAGCGTAGAAGCCTCACTCGCATAGACCCGTCCCTCACAGCACCACTTTGAAGTTTTTAGCTTCCTAATGAAAACATACTTTGTCACTTTCCCTAACATTCTAGGTTGACAAAATGCTCAAAAGCCAAATTCATCAAGCACCACCAATAGGTTCATGCTTTTTGTGCAGCACATTCAGTTGTAGAATATCACAAACGATAGATTCGGTTGAGTCTCTCGAGGAAACCAAATTGATTTGCAAGTGAGTGTATTTATAAAAAACAGTCTAATTTGGGTTCAAGTAGAACATGAGGTTGATGGAAACTCGGGAGCTGCGCCTACCTGATGAGCCCCGAGTAGGGCGAAACCGGTTGTGGGCTGTTTTTTAGCAACTTTGTGAGTAGTTTCTTTCATGAAAACCCTAATTACAGTTAAGGGAATGGTCATTTTGGAGTTATTTTCCTGGCATCGACAAACTATGTTCAACATTTGTCCGAATAACAGAAGATTTGAAGAGAATATGAAATTACGACCTAATATTTCTTAGCGGAAAATTAACAAGTTAAGAATTACTGTACAGCTGTTCAATTGTAATTCAATATCCAGAGCGGATTTCAATCCAGTAGCTTTCCAGATAACCCTTACTCATCGTAACCTAGAAATAAAGGTGATAAGAAGTGGAGTTAGTGTGAGGCTAAATACATGGTGGCACACTTGATCCTCCACCATTGCACACTCACATCACGTGACATTCCGCTTAACGGGTCTTTGAGTCTTCAATTTCCCCATTCATGCCTCGGAAAAGTTATGATGAAAAGCGTAGAAGCCTCACTCGCATAGACCCGTCCCTCACAGCACCACTTTGAAGTTTTTAGCTGCCTAATGAAGACATACTTGGTCACTTTCCCTAACATTCTAGGTTGACAAAATGCTCAAAAGCCAAATTCATCAAGCACCACCAATAGGTTCATGCTTTTCAAACCATTCGCTCACTGAATTAGACCTGAAGTCCTGGCAACAGTCTGTATTCTTTACCGCCGGCTATTCACAGATTCCATCGCGCAGTTTATCCCAGCCTCTCCGCACTTAAGGAAAGCTATTCTAGTTATAAAAATGTGTGATGTTAGATGTTCGCTGGACGCAACTAAGCGGAAAGAATGATAATTACAGTTAATACTTAGCAATAGTAGTATAGCTCATCAAGCCGTCACCTGCAGGCCTCACAGCCATAATTCGCTTTTTTATTATACTGTTTGGATATGTTTCACAACGATAATACGAGCGGCGCGGATAGCAAAGTAGCTGCTTTTTTTCCGGAAATTCGAAGCATACCTTACCCAGATCATGGAGGTGTGTCATATGTTGTATGCTTCAATGCATCCCAAATGTCTATTGAATGTCACCTGTCGTAACGAGTTTTTATAGCAATGATGACCACCCATAAAAGTAGTAGGATAAAAAGCGTCTGATTTGCGCACCAGTCTGATGGCCAGAGCTTAGCTAGATGGTAAGTGATATCCATATCTTTCATAATTCATAAGCAGCTTAATTAAAATGAGAATGAATTTGCAACTTTCAGTACAGTTCAGGATAATCGTCAGTTTGTAGACACGCTTGTTCCGCGAAACAACTCGCCTTCAACCACCGTTGATTCTATGCTGGGAGAGGCTTCGCTCAAAAACAGAAGCATCTATTAAAAATCTCCTGCCTATGATTGAGCGTTAAGTCAATAAATAGGATGACAGAAGTACGCACACAGCACGGGAGAACGAATGAAAGTATTTCATTAGTTTGGGGGTTTAGGCGAGATGGCTCAGTGGTTAGAGCACAAGTTCACTGACCAGAAGGTCCTGGTTCAATTCCGACCTCTGCCTCCCGAATTTCCTTGTCTAGGTTTGGGCAACCTGACAGTACCTCAATCCTCGCGCCTTCTTTGGGTGGCAGGGCGGTTAGGCCCTGGAAGGGTGCTACAGCTGAACGATGAATGAAAGTTAGCGAACCAATCACACTAAGTGTACTAGATTACTGTGCGGACAATTGTGACAGCCACTATACAGTGTCACCCGTCATTTGCGCCCACAATAATAGAACAGTCGTCCAATCTTGATTTCGACCGTCAGTTTGTACTCGAATAGCTCTTGTCATTCCAGACGGAGTTCACGCATTCCAAGTTGGAAACAATAAGGGTTGCTCTTTCCTTGCATTCGGTTCGGCTGTTCGCACCACAACTCTTTCATTCCGCTCGTGGATCACGATGCCAACAGTGTAGATTACAACATTTGTCGTGTAGTTACCTAGAAACGACTTAAACAGGTCGTTCACATCACATGAAAATAAACTGGATGACCTTATCCACACTACTATGAATATAACTATCTAACCTTTCAACCTTTATGAGCGCCATCATTTGGAACCATTCCACGGCCCTTCGCACTTAGCTTATTGGAAATTTCAAAGCAAAACTCACAAAATACGAGAAAATCCCTAAAGGTATGAGGGACAGTGAATATCGTTTACTAAACGTAATCTCTAAACCTCTTGTTAAGCTTTAGTTGCATCGCTTGACAGCACCCATCTGATGACAATTTCTGAGCACACCAAACACATCATGGACTTTAGTCACTGGATATCCTGTAATCCCTGACTCGCATTAAAACGAACTGTCGGAGTGTTCCGATCAAATGTAGTTACAAGTGAATGATGGGAACATCGGTGTTTCCTTCGAGGACTTGGTCCTTCCGTGCAGAAACTTTCTGAGTGACCTAAATGTCTTTTTGACAACCCTGAATGTGGCTGGACCACCCTGCATAAATCCCGGTTTTTTTTACGGACAATAACTATCTCTGGGAGCATGAGGCTGTATTCTGTGGCTGGCTGTTATATTCTGATTCGCCAATCTAAGGTATCTGCTGCAGACCCGCTCCAGCGCCTAGTACCGGATAAAAAATCTCACAGAAGGGAACACAGCAGCTATATTCCGAACAAGCGAGTGCGAGAGCGTGAGTGCATGCCAGTGCGAAAAGTACAACAGTCTCAAGCTAGTTATTGGAAGGACACTGTCTGAACATAGTCCCATGCCAACGCACACAGTCTGGCTTCGGTACGAGGTTGTGACGTGCTGCCCATTGCAGGGGCGCTGTCTGACCTTGATCAACGCTGAATCTCGCTGCCTGGGTTTGATACAAGGCTGTGAGGCGCTGCATGTTGAGGGGGTTTTGTCTGTCTGGTCAACATCTAGCGGAGCTGAGAGTCTCGGTGGATTTTGGGCATTCACTTGTTGCTTTCAGGAAGCTGACCTTTCTGATACTGACAATCACCAAATCCAATTGCGTCTACAACATTTTAGGCGTTTTGTTCTATTCCTTCAGGATATGCAAATATTTTTGGGAGAAACAAATAACCTTGAGGAGTCATCGCTAAAACCGTAAACGTATTGTCACGCATGCGGATTACCTTCAGTCACGTGCTCCATAGTTAGTTTACACGCGTGAAACCTGATCCAGGTCGTTTAAAACTGTGATTTTTAACTGCCAGAAGTTCGCTAAGCAAAGAGTTGTAGTCGGTTTTTAAATGAAAGCATTTTATGGAGAGGAAATTCGAAATTTATACTTGTCTTCTAGTTTGCGATGTTTCGTAAGTGGCGATTTGCCAGTACTGCAATGCATTCCACTCTTTCGTCCAAGGCCATTTAGACCATGCTTGGCAAAGCAACGTCTTGCAAGATGTTGTTTTTTTAAAAAAAGGATGAATCCAAGAGGTACGATGAGAAAGCCCTCAGTAACCTGTAATCAGATGATTGACTGAAGCGTGTGATGGACTGGCACTGGTATAATTAACGGATCGTAAGATAGGAGTACAAGTTGTCTGAAGTGGCCGGCTAAAACTCACCGCACAAGTATCCAGCCCGTATTTACGGGCACAGTAACAGCGAACGGCCATGACACATCTTTTAGTGATTGGTGAGCATCTTTGTTTCAAACCTGACCGAAGCGTTCAGCGCCAGTTTTATCCATCAATTGCATAGCACAAGAAACCCTCAGATTTACCCATAGTGGTGTTGGTCTGTTGCCGTGGTGGTTAGCGTAAACGTTTGCAACTGATGGCCTGATTAGTGACGTGAAAATCTGGCGGAATTTTCTGACACCTAAATTCTATAACAGCCAACTGAATGTATGATTAGGCACTCGAAACCAGTGAACAGTTAGCACTATCACGCAAAGTCGCTAAAAGTTGGGAAAGGTAGCAAGCTACTGTTCTTCTTCCAGGTAGTTTCACTAGTGGCACTGACAGTCGAATGAACCACGTGCCTTCTTGTAGGAATTCCATTATCCAGCGGGTTTGTGGCCTCTGTTCAGGCAGCAAATAGTGTTTTTAGGTTTGTCCTGCAAGTTACTGCCTGATAGCTATCAAGATATCAGAGAAGGTTCTCAGTTAGACTTGGGCCCATATGTACAATAATTACGACTGACGAAATTCTACTTTTACAAGCTTGCGTCCACCGTGAAAAATATCGCCGACCTGAGAGGTCAGACATGACCAAATGAGTACTAGTGTTTTCATAAAGGAAACTGCTCACAAGGTTGCTGAAAACTCTTTGACAGCTCACGACCGGTTTCGTCCTTCCCGGGGCTCATCAGGTAGGCGCAGTCCCCAAGTTTCCGTCAACCTTATGATCTACTTGAACCCAAATTGCACTGTTTTCGAAAAATACACTCATTTGCAAATCAATTTGGTTTTCACTGGAGACTCAATTGAATCTCTCGTTTATGATGTCCTCCAGCTGAATGTGCTGCACACAGGCCGCCTCATGATTCAGTTGGCACGATATTCGAGATATCGCAGTATATTTTCATAAAGGAAACTACTCACAAGGTTGCTAAAAAATCTTCGACGGCCCGCGACCGGTTTTGCCCTTTTTGAGTCTCATCAGGTAGGCGCAGTTTCCGAGTATTAGTGTTCCCAAGTCTCACGATTTGTCTATGACTTTCTTTTCATTCAGTAAGAGGCTCAGTATATTGGATTTTCAAAGACACCATTAAGAATTACTTTTGGTTCAGCCTTATCTGCTGAAATAACCTGTAAAAGGGGTTCGTTAACTGACAGCGGATTATATCCACCCATACGCTTTAACCCTATTCTACAATCGGCACTAAGTACGCCAGTTTCACGCCGTCAGTAAGAGCCGCTGAGATTGTAACCTGTTTTGAACTTTGTACTTTGTATAGCGTTTGTCGTGGCAATATATCTGACTGATGAAAGGGTGCAAGACCAAGGGCATATTGCACCTCCGCACAGTCGTGTATCTGTCATCGTCGTCATTGACAGCATGACATCCGTGTTCAGCACCGATGCTCCGCTGCCGTACAACCAAGATTCAATTGAGAGCCTTATTGTGAAGAAAAGAGTAAAGGTGGACGGGGAAGGGACTTAGTGCTGGCTTATTATAATCATTCCGATGTGTCTTCGCCTCCAGACTTCCGCTCAGGCAGTGTGGATAGAAACTGACAACAAGAACGTCACTGACATTGGTTGACAGCATATTTTGTGGTGTCTCCAACCAGGCACAGTGAGGACCACGCAGTCCCCATCCTGGAAGGCGAGTAGCATCGACAGTATCCAAACGTTTCGTTATTTCTTTCACACCCCTATATCAGCTCAAGGGTTGGCCGCCTCTCTGCTTCCTCCAATCTGAATTGGGCATGTAAAACGGCGATCTCTTCGGCAAACGATGGCTAGGCATACGTTACGCATGTCCCAACCAACGCAACTTCTGGTGTTGGACACATTCTTCAATGGAAGTATCCGTTGCATAACCGTAAATGCGGTTTCTAACTGCCTCGTTACGGATACGCCGACACCAGCCCACACGAGCAATGGCTTTGAAATAACGATTGTCGAACACTTGAAGACGTCTCACTTCCGCTGCCCGAACAGGCCAGGTCTCACAGCCATACAACAAAACAGCCCGTACTGTAGCTTGATACACACTTCCCTTGAGCTTCAGGGATGGACCATTTTGACGCCATAGGTGTCTCAAATTAGTAATCGCGGCCCGAGCCTTGCAGATTAATGTACTGACCTCAACCGTCACACTACAGTTGGAACTAATACAACTTCTAAGATACGTAAAATGCTCTACAACTTCGAGTGCTTCCCCCGGATTGTAAGTGGAGTGTTCAGTGTCTGTATGTCCAGGAGCATGACTTCACACTTTGTGGGTGCAGAGTGCATACCAAAGGACGGGATGACTTTGGTCAGTTCATACAAGACTACTTGCGTCTTCTCCTCCTCTTCGAACATGTGAATGATGTCCAGATTGACAAAGCATTCGTTATAGGCTATTTGAACATCGGGGTTTTGGAGACCTTTCAGCGTTCGTCTCATGGTTTCATCGATCACAGAGTTAAACAGGAATGGAGAGAGTGGACATCCCTGACGGACACCGCTTTGTATACGGAAGCTTTTGGAGAGCCCGCCGTATGCCGCCATACGTCCGGAAGTCTGTACCGTATTTCAGCTGCATACAGCTTCTAACGACTCGGCAACTGCTAATGGTGCCAAAGAGATAACACTCTTTTTGGTTCTTTCTTCTGACCACAGAAGTGCTCATAATTAATCATTTTCCTTATCCTAATAATTCCGGGGTGGTTTTGACGCACACGAAAGCACAGGTACTTGTTCCATAACCACTTAACCGGTTTATCAGATGACCACAATTATCCAGTCATGTTTTAATCATTTGCGCCAGTTCTATCAATAGATGCTCCCTTATCAACAAATGCGCGGCCATTGTTTTCCATTAGGTTTTTGATACTGAGATAATGGGGAATGGGATTAGCTCAGTGGTTATCACTGACTCAGGCACAGCAGAAAGAGAGAAAGGCGAACAAATCTGTATTGTCCTTCAGAGGCTGTGACGGATGTGTGTACAAATCAACAATATAAAAGCGACATTATATCATCCCTCACATTATGGTAACCGACACTGAAATCTCATTAACTCATAGCAGAGTCGCATGCGATTATTGTAACAGTGACAAACTGTCCCAGAGGACAATTTGTCACTTTCTTCCCCGATAGAGCGAGAGGACTCGATTTGCGCACATGAACTTGCCGATGAAAGTGATTTTATTATCCCTGACATGAAGTTGTTCGTAGATGAGAGGGATAACTAGTTCACTACTGAACCCCATTTCACGTCATTTTGTGGAAAAGATACAAATATCCACCACATTGGTCCAGACCCGTTGATTGCCGCTCACTTTGACTGGTCTTATAGGTCGAAGAGTTTTCAGCAACCTTGTGAGTAGTTTCCTTTATGGTCTTATAGGTGTTGTTATGTTTCCATTTAGAATAAAAATGGATTGATAGATATGTTTTCAACTAGCGTTTTCCAAGTCACACAGTTGCATCGGCGAAGACAGGACTGCCTAAGACAATTTAATTGTCACGATGGATATCAGGCATGAAGCTAGATGAGACACGACACTGGTTGCCTGTCAAGGAAATAGATGTACAAACCACCACAAGGATGACCTGAGTTTGTCAGCGCAGGCCGTTCTATTGATGATGTGAACCAGTTACTTCTTGACAAGTAGCCAAAGTTATTCGGTTTCCTGGTTGATGCCAAACGTGCTCAATAATTTGTTATCGTTATCCTTGGTCATTCTGACTGCGCGTGAATCGAGCACAAAACACCCGCTAATCTGGCAGGAACTCGCCGTCAAAGAAACGTATCCAACTATAGTTTTACGACGTTTTCGCGGTAAGGTGGACAGCGGTTTTTCGACATTTGTGATTAATCTCATACACACGGAGTAAAACCCTCTAGGAAAAAACTGGTACCAGATTTTGGCACGTAAGTCAGTGACCAGTGAGTAGCGGATTGTCACTTTTTAGGTGTTGTACTCACGCAATCAGTTATCAGTAGGTAGTAAGTACTTTCTGTGGAAGTAGCTGAAAGTCCAATAATTATGAAACCTTTTATCGCAGCTAAATTTTGGCTTAACCGGGATCGGTATTCGAAATTTGCGCGATTTAGGGGGAAACATTTTACCAAGGGGCTTCTTCTTAAAGCAAGAACTGTCAGAACATGTGACTACAGGGCTACTCAAGAATTTTGGCTACTGGTAAAACATGAATCATTTATATCCCGTGGGCCAACTTCCAAGACAACAGCCATTCGACACGAGTTTTCCGAGGAAGCTCTTCGGAACTTCATCTCATCATGAAAGAAGTGCACAAGTGTTTACCAACTGCGCTCAAATTTTGTGCAAGCAATCCGAAATGTGACAGTGAATCCGAACAATTTTGCGAATGAAAGACTGCCATTTCACAGTGTAAACCGACATGATGGATTGGTAATTGGTTGTCGTGAGATGCATATTGGTGACAATCGACCGTACGGAGTTCATCACTGAGGTTGACTGCACTTGCATAGGAAAAGTTACTGTTATCCACAAAATGCCCCTGTGAATTTGAGGTCAATCCTAACTGAGTGAAGCACAAACTGTTGCATTTGTACAGTCAGCTCATTATATCTACCATGCTGGTATCCGGACTCCATTTTGGTTTTGAGACAAAAGCCAACAAAGTTCAGCCGGACAGTCCGAGACGAAAAACCGGCTACAAAATCTATTGTATTGGAATGACATTACTAGACGTGGAGAATTATATCCGTTCACTTAAGAGTATGTGTGTAGATCTGAGCAGTATCTGCCAGTCTCATACAGGTGGAACCCAAAAGTGAAGCAGCGCCGTCTGACAAGTTAATCATTGGATTAGTGGTCGGATATCACGATTTTGAGTTGACCAGCTCTTTTGAAAACTTTTTTTATATCTTCTGTCAAAACGGTCGGTGAATTTTTGTCCAGACAAACTGTTTCCCGGAATGGATTACTTGATGGGTAGAAAAATCTGATGTATTAGAGCAACCTCTCTTTGAAAGTACTCTGGAAGCAGCCTTGTGAAATAGAGTCTGTGTGGGTTTTTGAGCCTCAATAATAAGATGAAATTTTGTGTTCGATATTCTTACAGCAATTTGAGTGAACGTTCCAGTTCACCGCACTTTTCAGGTTTCTTAATACCAAAGAGGCCATTTGTTATCCCAAACAAAATTAACACCAGGACAATGGTGCTTGATTCAGTTTCTATCATCAACAAAATTTACCAAGTTGTTTCTTTATCGATCATTGCCCTTGAGAAAAATGTATTTCACTCGGCTTCCTCAAGTTATGCGTTCATTTCACATTGCGATTCAAGGACCGAAATGGTTTTCGAGAAGTACGCTCATTTGCAAATCAGTTTGGTTTTCAAAAGAGACTCACCTGATTCTCTCGTTTATGATAATCTACAAATGAATGTGCTGCACACAGGCCACCTCATGATTCAGTTGGCACAATATTAGAGATATCGCAGTATATTTTCATAAAGGAAACTACTCACAAGGTTTCCGAAAACTCTTCGACAGCCCACGACCGGTTTCGTCCATCAGCAACCTTGTGAGTAGTTTCCTTTATGAAAATATACTGCGATGTCTCGAATATCGAGCCAACTGAATTACGAGGTGGCCTGTGCGCAACACATTCAGTTGTAGAATTTCATAAAAGAGAGATTCAGTTGAGTCTGTCGTGAAAATCAAATTGATTTGCAAATGAGTGTATTTCTCGAAAACAGTCCAATCTGGGTTCAAGTAGATCATAAGTTTGACGGAAACTCGGGGACTGCGCCTACCTGATGAGCCCCGAGAAGGGTGAAACCGGTCGTGGGCTGTCAAAGTTTTCTATGTTTTTATATGTGGCCTAGACTTTTTTGATGAATTTCCCTAATAACCAGGGACAGTTAGTCGGTAAAGCGCACGAAAAGGGACAAAGAGAACTCACGTTTCACATCATCCGTGTGACATGTGATGGTGGCGACCCAGGACAATGTGGTTTTTGCTGATTTGTAATTTGTGCGGTTTGTTCGGTGTAACGATTGAAAATTTCCGTAAGCACTCTATCTCACCTACACTTTTCACGATTCCATCTAACGAATACACAAGCTATTCTCTTGTGAATGGTAATTTCAGCCGTGGAATCACGATTCTCGTTCGTCCGCATCACAAGTGTCGGAAGTGTTACTGCTAATGGTCCTCAGTAAGAGCAGAACCCGTGATTACTGGGTCACCCTTTTGATGTGCACTAGTCAGGACAATCGGGCTAGAACTACGAGAGACCTGCCCCAACGGGCACCGATGAGTACACCAATCCTTCGAATCTGGTGGCTACTTGCAAGTGTTTAGTCTGCCAGGTACCTCAGATACGGACCACCCACATGGTTGCCGAAATGGTCGGTATGTTCATTCGGAATATCGGATCATTCTCAAATGCCTCGATCAAGCAACTATCAGGAATCTAGCTTCCACAAAGTATGCTTGGGAAAACTGTTTTACGAAGTAAATGTGAATTAATGAAGCTTGTGTACTGAACATATTGTGACTTTCCAAAGAGAAATACCTGTTGCCTTGACTTAATATTGATACTTGACCTCGGTTTACCCTGAAAAATTCCAAAAAAAGACTCAAGCTCAATGATTCTCTCATCATTTGACAGCATTCTTTACATCACTTAAGGAAATTTGTCTACAATAAATCTGGCTTACCTGTAGAAAGTGCTGGAGCTCCGCAGAGATAAGCAACTTCTCTTGTCTCTCGTTCAGTGCTGTCTGAAGCTCGTCCCAGTTTGTTTCGAAATCCATAAAAACCCGTCCAACTTCTTCCGCTGCCAACCACTCACTGGATATAAGACGTAAGTCTCGACGACCAGGAGCTTCATTCCTTAACTTGCTCTGTAGATCTACCACCTGATTCCGGAGCTCTTCTACCCCCAGCCCAAGGTGTTCCATGTCTTCTTCCCAAGCGAATAGTTTTCTCTGAAGCTGAATCAGACTGTTTAAATCAGTACCAAGCTCATCTGTGGATAACAAAATAATGTATTTTTCTGCGATTTGGTAGTTAAACTGTTCGATTTTTCGGTAGAATATATTGATTCCTTTGGCTGTTTCAAATCGTGTTTGGCGCGATTCTTTCAGTCTTTGAAGTTTGTTCCAACGTTTTTGAATATCTTCCGTTATTTTGAAATGAATTTGCTCCCTTTTTGTCGATTTTTCTTCAGCATCTGACAAACTCTCACTTTCTGTAACCTTTTCGGATTCAAGGTCAAAATCAGCGGGTCCCTCTTCTTCCGACAAAACGATACCTCCCATAGTTGTCACAATGAAGTTGGCTAGCTCGTCATAACAGTTAGTTCCTTCCATATCCAACATTGTTTGGTAAATTCGTTTGTCCGATTTTGTAATTTCCGATAACAGTTGGGTAGAAGCCTGAATTTCCTTCAGTAATAGACTGAATCGATAAGTCTTCGCTACCAGCGTTCGATCTTCTTCCACAACAAATATATCCTTACCGTCCTCCTCAGTTTGTCGCGTTGGAAACGGCAGCTTCCCGTGTGCTCTGGGCATCAGTTCAGGTAATAGGGAATTCAGGTTATCACACCTGAAATGGATGTTTAAAGAACGGAAATCGAATGGTGAAAGCTGCGTTATTGTACCAATCCATATCTATATGCTCCGATTTACTGGAACAAATTAGCAACAAAAGCTCAACGTCTAACTTTAACCTGTGGAAAATGAGGGTAGGGGATTTGAAGTAACATTCATCGGGAAACTGAGTCATTTTTCCTGCGTTAATGTTAGCCTCCCGAAACACGTGCCTGCAATGCTCACATGAAACATATGGTTGCTCAAAATAAAGCAAACCTTTTGGCTTCGCCCTTCAAATAAGATTCATCTTGGTTTTCTTTCGCACTTAAGTTAAAGACGTTTTTGCCCATTGCCATAATTTTTCGGGACACAGATGAAAACGTTTCAGCTCCGTTCTTTTCTCTCAAATGAAGCTGTCGTTTTATACTCCCGATTTATTCGGTCACAACACCCCTCCTGGTAATTCTACGTGACACCTTCACCCTTTATATACGCGCATTCGCGTCTAATCACCTACTTTGAAGCGCGAGCACACACGCAAGCTGGTTTGCGCTAACTCGCCCATTTTAACCATCCATCACATTTGAAACCCGCCGTTAGTCGATCGTGTTCCAGGAGCACTTGATCCAATGTTGTATTTGGCACTAACGTCGCGCGAACCAAATCTTGGGGTCAAATTATTGGAACCAGATATCCAATTGAATTATGACGTCACATGAACTAAGGGCGGACTTTGATTGTCACTCTTTGGTATATTTTATACTTCGGTTAATTTAATACTCGTGAATGATACATTGATCTGGAAGGTTTCTCTCCAAGAAAGACAAATTGCAACGTTTCGTGACTCCCCTTAATAATCATCGAATCACATGCAAAAAGACTGTCTGTTCATATAATTGACTTATTTTTGCAGACAGTTTTGGAAAAACTGAATTATTACCTGAACCTAAGCAGATAAAAGACAGCATTTTCATGGACTGCAAAGAAGCTTTTGCTTGTCGTATTAGGAAATTGACATTTGACGTCAACAATGCCACTGACTTTCATTCTTTGGGTGACGTCAATCCATGCTGTAAATCTTGGAAGCAGCCGTTTCAAACTCATTAATGTTGTCCGTAATACTATTTCATGAATCTCGGAAGATATGCGGCGCGGACTGGAAACATCGGCGCTCTTTCTGTGAGATGGAAATACTCGACAAGTCAGTCGGGGCTCCCACTGGATGCTGCCATTTGACGAGCACTGGTTGATGGAAAGTCACTAGGTTTTCACAATTCTAGTGAGTTACCTAGAGGTTGTAAGTGGAGCTCAGCGAAACTTCCTAGAGAAATTGCTGCTTTTTCTTTAAAATGAAGGATTAACCAAACATTTAGACGCGGTCACCATAGATACGGGTTGAAGTTGAATCATTTGAAATAAAATGAAGGATTAACCAAACATTTAGACGCGGTCACCATAGATACGGGTTGAAGTTAAATTAGCACATTTGAAATGTGTGATTTACCGACGGTGGGATCGAAAGACAAAATTTAAGAGGGAAGTTAAATACCCAATCCAAACAAGTGCGCTAATCTACAAAGAGTCATCCAAATCAACAATAGTCTGCTGAATAAATGTGCCGCGTTTCAGTTTTCAAACTGCCGCCCTTTGTCGCCGCTGCATAACAAACAAAGTTGCCACCTTATGCTGAATAGGATTGAATAATTTAACGATCCTGCAAGTCTAATGGCCGAGGCTTTGTCCCACAAACTTTACACATGCTAGAAAGGACTCTGGAGAACTGAGTAGCGAGTCTACATGCTAACAGCAGTTGTGGCGCAATGCGATCTGTGAGAAATGTCGTACTGTTTAAAGTCGACTCTTATAGATTCCAGCTGAATCTCCTGTTTATGATATTTTTCAGTTCAGTCTGCCCTTCAAGTTAAGACGGTGTGCGAATGAGTGCATCTTGGAAATTTCATACAGTTTGGGCTAAAGTGGATCATAAGGTTGACGGAAACTCTCGAAATGCGCTTATCTGATGAACCTTTGAGAAGGAAAAAACCCGTCGTGGCCTGTCGAGGAGTTTTCAGCAACCTTACGAGTATCCAAACAATATTTAAATGGGCTTTTCAGATATGAAGTCATTAGGGCACATGGCTGACGTCTGGTTACCATATGTTTCACTACAGAACCGGATATCATTCATGTTTCAATGCTTGGAAGACAGTTTGGATGCGCTCAATAAACAGACCGGGATATCTTTTGGACTTTATCATTATCCGGCGAAAAATCTCTTGGAAATTTCAAGGTCATTCGCAGTGCTATTTGTGGTGTAGATCGTGAATCAGTGAGATTTAAAGTGAGGTTGAATCTGCAGGAGACTCTTCGTTGGGGTCGAGGATACGTGATATTATACAGCCGCTGGATTAGTCACCATTGCGCAGAATTTCGAAAGTTCATCGCCCACAATTTGTGCAATGCAAGAACAACACAATCGCTAGTCCGGGATCAAAGACTACATCAGAACGATTGAGACTAGAAACACTGGATTACGAAGAAAGATTTTAGAACTTGTTCTCTGAAAAAGAGGTGTATGTGTCTTTTCTTGTCAAGGAGAAACACCAAAGCGAGTAACACTCCAGCAACTGTCAAGTACATTAGACTGACAGTGGCGTTGCAAAGAAACCTTGAACTCTCGAAATATCCACACAGGTTGAAGAAAGAACAGTTGGTTGAAATGGACCAAACGACCCGGTTTTTTATCGTGGGCACCGACGTTACAAGTAATCTGTTCACCTGCAATTCCACCCGGACCTCCTGACTGTCCGAAAAATGAATAGGCTATTGGAGGAATTAAATACCTCACTACCGTCCAGAAACTTATCAAAACGGAAGCCCGGACTATGTTGCTTGGCTACCTCTAGCCCTTGGGTGAAACGTGTCATTCCATTTACGTACGCTGAACTCTAAACGATGTTTAATAAACCGCAAAATTAAGAAACCAAAGGAGAAGTGTGACTGCCCACCGAAGAGTTCAAACCAAGTTGGTGATCACTGGAACATTAAGTTACCTGATTCTGAAATGTGGTTAACTGACCAGTACTCACAGGACAACTATTTCTGTTTATCGCAATGTATCTAAACTAAAACAAAGCTACATCAGTTGGTGATTTGCGCGCTACCTTAAGTGGGAGGCTGTGCCTAATATGAGCATACTAAAGCAAAACTACAAAGGATAACGGCGGAACTGGCATGATACACCCGAAGAGATGCCGAACAGGGCTGATCTAACGGAGGTAAATGGAAATTGGTGTCGTGCAAGCGACCTTTAAAGGGGGAAGGTTTGTAAAGGTGGATATTACTGATTGGGCATTCGAGTAGTATGTGGTTTGCTTGTAACTCCGCCTTGATTCAATGGAAGATGGGATTTATCGCGGAAGTTGTGGAACTCCTTTGCAGCAATAGTTTACTGTTGCGTGATGGTCAATTAATATCCTGGAAGATTCAAGAAGACGGGTTTAGAAAGAAGACAAGTATTCGGTTTTTTTAAAAACGAGGGCCTCAATTTTTTGTCCCATAGTATATAGCTGTCTAGTTGGCGTTTTCTAAGAAAAACTCCGCAGAAGACGGGTTTAGAAAGAAGACAAGTATTCGGTTTTTTTAAAAACGAGGGCCTCAATTTTTTGTCCCATAGTATATAGCTGTCTAGTTGGCGTTTTCTAAGAAATAACTCCGCAGCGAAGGCCTTCTTCCTTACTCCATGAGAGAAATTTATTTGCCTTTTTGAATAGTAACAACTTAGGCAAGCGCTCTGCGGTGTCCTCAATTCTAGCGACTGATTTATTCTAACGGACCACATGAACAAGAACACCACCACAAAACCTAAATGCCCACCTTAAACTGCACGTGTAAAAACCGAAAGGAATTTTTCAGTTCGTATCGCCCAAGGTGATATTCAAAACGATCACCAACGTTCCGAAAAGCACTTTCGCGAACTACGCAACACTCGTTCCGAATTGTCAGTTGTCAAGCCCACTGGACGCACTTGCGCTGGACTGAAGTCATGGCCAACTTACTCCTGACCTGAGCTTCCAAATAATATAGTGTTTATTTTGACCTTAAGCTGGGATCAATCACGCCCCACAAAACCGATTCGTCCTACTCTTCTCTTCACATGCCACCACCGTTTTGACATAGGTTCAGCCAACTCGACCTCTCTCGAAGCTCATTGATTTTTTACTCATTGTGATGAAATGTCCATTATATCGATCGTTATTATCTTCTCCACGTTCATTTCTGTGTTATTTCACCACATTCTTCGTGCTGTCAATATCTACTCCATATTCAGCGTGATCAGATTGGGCGGTCGGATGAGATGTCGCGAGATTACAGTCCCATAAAGACTCGGTTTTTCTTGGCTCGGATTTAAATTAACCAATCAAAACTGGTGTTTTATACTTCCTCAAGACGACTACAGCATTCATGTTGACAATCACGACAACATCCTGTCTATGGGCCCGAGAAGGTAAAGGATGCCAAAATAGGGCTTTGTGGAAAGCACAATAAACAATGCGGTGTGCTTCCTCCGCACTGACGCTGAACTGACAGCACACTAGAACACTTGGCAAATTCCATTTATCCCAACCACAAGCGACCATTTGGATTCGGTGACTAAATCAGATTCAGGGGGCTTAATTTAGCCAACACCCTTGAATGCGGCCTGACGGACAGCTATTAATACTGTACAGGACAAGTAAAATGAAAGCGAGACGACATTCATTCCAAAGAGTGAAGCTCCAAATAGTGATCAAACAAGACTTTTTCGTCTTGATTCCTTGGGAATTTAACACCCTGAAAACTGATCTCACGGACTTCTATCAGGTCTTACTGTGCTGCAAGCACATCGTTCAAATCAGGTGCGACCAAAATTACCTTGACTTGTACAGCTTGTGGGCACGTCTGATTGGGTAGAATCAAACCTGCACTAAGGATAAGACCTTTAGTCGCTTTAGGTAAGTTTGCATTTATTTCTAACCAGCACTTAATGCACTAAAAAGTGCAATCTGACGGTAGATGAAATCCTCTGTGTATGTCATTTTATTTGAGAGTAGCATGATGCGCCACCGAAACCTGAATAAATGATGAGTAACATCAGCTTCTTGACTTAAAAGAGCCACTTCTGGTGATCGTCCATCAGAAAACGATGATTACTCTGGCCAGTGGCTGTCAACTGGCCATTGCGTGTTTATCAGTCAATCTTATTTCTTCAGGTTAACGTCAAAGTCCGTGGCTTTCACACGACGTCAAATTCGGCTCCCCCTTGTACATGGATACGCAGTGGAATGACCGGTGTTCATCAGTATGTCCGTTTAGGATTTTGTCCGATTTTAACGCTGCCTTCTGTAAGATGGTTATTCCCAGACCACAAGTAATGTTCTCGCGAGGGGTTACGTGCACGGGTTGTTTGCGGGAAATGAAATCGACAAGATGTGATCTCCCAAAGGTAGCAAACACAAAGGTCAGAAAGCGTACGATCGGTAATTTTCACCACACACTTTCTTTGGCTTTGTAAACCAAACTGAATCTTCTGGTTTTTTGAACAAAAGTATCGATTTTTTTCACCCTTCTACGGTGGCAATAAAATTCTCCGTAGACCAAACAAAAATTCTAATGAACACAATGAGAACGGAGGATTTTTAAGCTTTTTGAATTCTCCTATGTGTAAACTGAAGGCGATGTTTGGTCGTTCCTTCGCTACTTCCCGCATACTCAGCTAAAATCTAGTCAAATATCTGTCAATTCAGCTAAACTTTGCAATATCTTTTTGAGAGAGCCTCTTTGGAAAAAGTAACCTGAAATACAAAGAATTTTCAGGGTTTCCAGGGTAAGGTATCCTTGGTTTTTCATTCCTGAGGCATGTTTTCGTTCCCTACTTTTCTCGCTACAAAATGCGTCTTGCCGTTGGAAACAAAATGTTGCCAGTGGGTGATCTTGAACACTGGATACTATCTAAGATTCAGAAATCGTACTCGCTTGAATTGGACACGGGTTCTCCATGGATGTCCTCTCCTGGTAGGTCTGTACTTAGCACGAGCCGTAACACTGAACAGGTCCCATCTCAAAGCACACTCAATGTGATGGCGTTCTAAGGCTGCTTGTGCAAAAACGAACGTCAGCAGCTGTCCTCTGTTCTCTCGAGGGTACACTATGTCTAGGGTACCATCAAGGATGGTAACTCATACATCTTTGCTCAGAAGCTTTCTCACATGGATAAAGATATCGGAAAAAAGGTTACCTCACCTATAGGGCACCTTCATAAAACAGAAGGTATATACTGTATGTAAATCACCTGGGAAAACACTCAGTCGAATAAATCCCAAGCTTTTCAACTGACTGTTATTAATATCTAAGTCGACTTTATTAATCATCGACTTGCAGACACTCCTGAGGAACAGGCAAATAGTTTGACTCTACGAACTCCTAAAGAAGGTCTTCTCACAAAAACAACCCAATATATGAGTGAGTAACAGGATGCCTCCAATAAAATCCAACTGACACAGACAAACATCGGAAACAAACCACCAGATGACCTTGAGACTCATGCAGAACAATTCCACCCAGCGTGTTGATAGTAAGTTTCATGCCTTTGTCATGAATTGGCAAAGGAAATGTCTGCAGCTAAGACAAAATGGAGACAGGTGCTTCGAAAATGTTTTTCGAGGCGAGATTCAGATTCTCCAATGCAGCAAACGGAAGTGCAACACCATATTATTTCGTGAAATTGTTGCAAATCAACACTGTTGTCCTCTTGTCTAAGGCGCTTGGGATGGTGATCAGCACCACGGCGAGGAATTTAGTATGACTGAGGTGGATGGTAGTTTAAAAAGAGGGGTTTTGCAGATCTCCTTTATGAGCGGTATCTCCTACATCTCAACTGACCTTCCAGATAAAAACGGATGAGATCTGGCTTTGAACACCAAACGTTAGATATATGGAATGACTGTCAAACAACAATTAAAGTCGTTAATCATAACTCACATCGTATCAGTCCAATCCCCCAACTGGGCAATTTTTTCACGAAGCAATAGCGCATCTCGTTTCAAGGAAAAACGCTCCTTTTCCACTATGCAACACTCCAGATAACGTTGAGCCTTTGATTGCATGACGTCAACATAAGTGAGTAGCGCTTTAGAAACTGACTGTAGGCTTGGATGCAATACCAGCTTGAGATCGATGTCCGATGGAGATGGAACAGGCCGTGGGCAGACTTCTCCGCGTTCAAAATCTCCGAGATCAGTTTGTTCCTCCGTTATACTGGTTACCGAACATGAGATTGAGTTCAGCTGATTTTCCTGTTCTTCAGCATCTAAAACCACATTCGCAGTGCTTTCTTTACGTGTATGCTCAAGTGAACCATGCTGTTCATCAACCACAGTTACTTCGGGGACCGGATCCATCTCTTCCACGACGTCTTCAACTTCCTTGCTCACTTTTCTATTTGGTGAGCCATGTGCTTTTCCCAGATGTTCTATGAGATCCTCGGAATTTTTCACATACTCTCCTTCTCCTCCCGAGTCTGAATCACTTTTATTGGGACTACTGGGTTCAGAAGCCACCTCATGGATGGACGAGATATCTTTCAGGGACTCTTCTACAGATGTCTGTGAACCCGACCTTGCCCAGGTCAAATTATCCATTTCAACGTCCATTTGAGTTACGGTTGGTTTTGATGGAAGATACTGCAGTAGCCTCTCTCGAATCAAATTTGCTAGATCTGGAAATTTTGTGAATTTTTCTATTGCCTAAGAAGAGAAAGAAAAGCAGTTACATGTTGTAATATTTTACGTATTTCACAGATTCACAACACTTAGCTCACACTGTTAGCGTTTATTTCTGCAATCGAGCCGTTCAATTTACTTGTATTGTTTGCAATAAAACGGTGGGAAAAAAGAGACAGTTTACTCATCCAAAAAAATAAAGAACTTGATAGACTCTTTGGAAAAACATGTCATTAACTTCGTAGGGAAGACCAGCAGGAAGTATATCTGATTTGAAATTAATTTTGTCTAGTTGTCAATCACAAGTCATTAAGATGTTGACGCAGGTGACTTCTGTTCATTCAACCTTAGAAGTAGATTGGAGAGTTGTATTGAAGATCTTTCCCAACTTCAAGACCACTTTCCCAATCCAAACTCTTCTTGATTGTCACGCAAAGAAGTATACGCAGCTTTACCACCTAAAAATTTACGTCATTCACATTCTGATTACTGGAAATCTGTCTAGCAAAACTCTCATGGTCGTCGGGTGTTTCTTGTAAAAATGGAAACCGTTTGAGACCAGAGAAGACTCGTTAGTAGACTTGTCAACTTTTGAATAGCGTAGAGCACAATGAGTCCCCAACACACGAGTAAAATAGTAGTCGACTTCTAAATTATACTCAGGGCAGTTGATAGGTTGGGTGAGGTTTGAAGTTTGCGTTTTACTGGTCATGCAAAAACTAGCCTTACACACGCAGTTCAATCTCCATCTCAACCGACTGAAACATTTGTTTGGCGTATGTAGTAGTCTCATCTTTATACAATCTGGATCCTCGAGGGTAGGATGTGAAAACCATCAAACCAGCCAGGGATGATCGGCCGATGTGCGAAAGCTTGAGTACAGTCTGCTCACCGATCCCATTTTACGTTCGCTCTGCAGAGGCGAGCTCATTGGGCCACCAACAGTATGCTTCGCTCGCATACCAGCGTGGCCTACTAGTGACGATGAGCCCACGGATTCAGCCGCAGCGAACGCTCTTACGTGCAAAAATTACTGACTGCGGTAAGCCCAGAGCCCGTGTTGGCATCTTGGTGACATCCGCGCGCTTCATGCACCAGCGCATCAATGTGTGCCACGACATCTCATCAGCATGTGATGAAATCTAAATCCGTTTGAATCAGAGAAATCAAACTCGAGTAGCCGACAGCGTTCTCTAAGACTAAACAACATGCTGCCGAAATACGTGCTTTATCGGACGCGTCAAAGGCGTTTATCGGTCACAATTCTGTGTTTCAGTATGCACTTGTTGATTCCTTGCAAGGGTTAGTAGGCATTCTTAGGACTACGATAGAAACGCTGGCTGTTTTCACATGGAATAACCAATTAGGTGATCAGCTGTTCCGCAGCGTGATGCTTAGAAATTCATTCTTCCCGATCGATTATATGAATACACGTTTAATTCGCAAATCAGTGAGATCCACTGCTCCCACATGTACGGCATTCAAAATTTCCACACTTAACTTCCGGGCTGTGTACTTATTCCTTTTAATAGTAACGCGCAAATCATGTTTTTGGTCTCTTGTTGTAGTTGGTGCATCACCCATTTGTCGGATAAACGGAGTAAACCTGACATACAGAGTATTTTGAACTGTCGCGGTAATCGTCATGTTTGACGTATCAATCGCTATTCACATTTCCGTAACATTCATTGGGCCTACTTTATCAAAGAAACTAAGTATACCGTTCCCGTAATCTGTCATGTAGTTTTTGCCGGCATTCAATTTTTTTAGGATATCTTGATTTTTTTTCATTTTGACACAGGTAAACTATCTTTGGCACTGGCTTAATGATTTTCGACTTGTCCCTTTTCCCATCTGGATGAATCTACCAAGACAGAATATCCACACAGAATATGTATCAGTTGGGGCTGTATCTATTCCTCACACTTCTAAAAGCTTAGTTGTAACGGAGTGTACAGTGCTGCTGCTGAGTTGCGCTGTAATGGTTTGAGCTCGGGCTCTACTGAGCATTTTCAAGAACATAACAGATCTCTTCACAGGCTATCAGATTCAGGCAAGTTGTCCTGTTCGTCTGCAACGCTGACAAACTATGCTTACTTTGGTCAAAGTAACCAAACTGGAACAAGTTTTTTACTTTTTTCCCCCGAGTTCCCCTGTTATTTTGCATACGTAATGAGGCAATACAATTTTTTGTGAAACCTACCGGTCAGATAATAATAGTGGGACGAAATGACACAAATACTTGTAATGGTTTTAAAAAGACACATGGTAACGGGGCATTCATGGGGTCATTTCTACACAATCCAGTAATCTTCTGCACGTTCCCCGGCTGTGGTTGATCTTACGCACACAGGGCAACTCTTAACAAATGTTTCTTGTCATTATCGATAGAATTATCCTTCTATTAGTTTTGATCTGTGGCTTTACCTAATGTACGGTAACCAAAACTAAATGCTAAGACTATCCAACCGTTTCCAAATAACTCTGTAAAAGCACGAGCTTCAATGGAATATACATTAAGAATAGAAAAAAGAAATTAGTTCCACCTGACTGGAACCAAAAACGAACATAATTTTCCCACTGAAAATTTCATCTTTCGCTCCTTCTTCGGAGGATATGTAACCTGGGTCCAAATAGGTTTGTTCGTCACGATCACTACTCTGATGCTTACTATTCAGAAGATTCTTGAGAACAAACGGAAGGATTCATATGGGCGTAGTTTTCTGTATAATCTATAAAAATGTCTGACGCGCACGCTTCACATTCAACTTGGGTTTCTCAGAAGGTGGACGATTGTGAATCTATTCTAACCAATTGTCTACTCTTTATCAAAGTCAAATGTATCGTTACTTACAGAATGACAGTGGGGATATTTGAAGTGCTAAAATATTCCCGTAGATATTTTTAGAAGTTAAATTCAATATTGATGCAAAAATACTTGTTTGACGTTTTAGTCGTTCCCTATTGTCTGGTTCCGAAGTGATATTTGGAGATGAGAAATCATTTAATCGTCAATTCTGGATGTCTGATGGAGTAAACTCCCCGAAACGGACTATTTCAGTAGTAGTTATTGCGTACATACTGACTTGGTAAAATTTCTGTAGATGCCAGTGTAGTGCTTGTTACCCGATGGTGTTAAATACTGATGACTTGTTCCCAGCTGATGACGATACATGTGCACTCCAGTTGCCAGAATCAATGAAGGAATCAACAACTGGGCAATCAATAGCCAGTGGATCTGCTTGAGCTGGAGATGGCCCGGTGATTAAGACGCAGATTCTATAAACTAAAATCCGTAGTTTCAACCCGATCCCCCCTCCTTGATTACTTCTCTCCAGACTTGGGCGACCTCCTTTGGGTGTGGTATGGTAGCAAGACATCAAGAGTATCACAGTTGACATACCACCGAGAATAGATTGGCTACTCTGCAATTTCATAAGTCCTATTCACCTGACCATGTTCACTCAGTTCAAGTGACTGATCTGCAACATCTCTGATCATACAGTAAAGCAAATGTAACTCACAAATTTACTATGAATTGATTAATTAAACAAGGTGATCGCTCCTTAGGAAGTGAATCGCAGTGGAAACATGCTGGTCAGGAATTTTATATTTAAGCATTACATACAAAGAATCGCAAGTTTGGTTGTTGGTCTGTTCTCCGAGCTTGGCAGTTGGATTGCCAAAACGTTTCATCACCAATCGAGGTGATATCGTCAGTGCAGGGTTGAGTGGGAGTGGGTTGAGTGGGTTGAGTTGGGACTCAGATGGGTGCACCACTGGCCATGGGCTCACCAGTGGGCCCAATGCTAGCCGACATTTTCATGAGTAAACTTGAAAATGGTCCCTTAAAGACTAGCGTAGAGAATATGCAGTATTACTGCCGATATGTAGACGACGTCTTCGCTGTTGTTAACAATAAAGGTGAATTGGAATCGCTTCAACAACAGTTCAATAAGGCCCACACTGCCATTCAATTCACTTTGGAAGGAGAAACCGACAACTTCTCTCACTTCCTAGATGTTGGCCTCGAACGTCACGATGTTACACTGAAGCAATCCGTGTACCGAAAACCCAGTTGGTCCGGGAAATACATTAAATTTAGCAGCCTCGTGCCACCAAAAGAGAAACGGAACCTGATCCATACCCTAACTAACAGAGCGAAGAAAATATGCTCTGAGGATGCACTGGAACAAGAATTCCAAACTCTCACCAACTTCCTGAGAGACAATGGATTCCCCGACAGGTTTATTACAAAGCCTTTGAACAGGGAGGAAGCAAACACCATCACAGCCACAGCTGGAAGGAAACCAGTTTACATTAGCCTCCCGATTAAAAATATATCAGCTGATCTACTGAACAGAAGACTTTCCATCAGTCTGAACAAAGTTTTTCCGGCCGCAACCCTCTGAACCTGGTTCACAAGCAATCGTTTGTGCCTGTCCACGCCCAAAATATGTTAGTTCACTCATTCTGTTGGTTCTGTGCAGCGGAATACGTCGGACGCACGACTAGGCAACTCGACCAAAGAATGAAGGAACACAATCCAACCTGGCTAGCTTATGGTACTAGGAGGACGATAACCAGTTCGGTAGCACAACATTTAGCTGACACTGCACACAACGTGATACCCAGTCAAAGCTTCCACGTTGTTAACAAGGCGCCGGCTAATCAACCCAGATCAGTACAGCAGAGCACAATTGTAGTGGCTGAAGCTATCGCTATTCGACATCGCGACCCGATCCTTTGTCGGCAAAAGCGTTTTGTTCGTGTGTGGTACTTACCATGGTCCAACTCACCTCCCCTCACATATGCACCTTGTGCTGAACACACAACTACGGCACCCTCCCCGGGCTGACTAGCTCAAGTCATCCTATTGGTGACCTGAACTAATTGTTCTTTAGTAGGTAACCACTGTCGTCTCACTCGATTTCCTGTCCATTTACACCATACTCATTCAACTATACTCTCTTAACCTTTGCAATTGTATGACTTGAAAAGACCTTGCCGAAAACATATTCGTCAACCCATCTATGCTCTTATTATAAATGGGAATTCTCGGGTCCTTAATTAACTTACATATGAGCAGCACTAATCTACCGATGAATTTAATGCACAGGTAATTGTACTATTTGGGCCAATAGTTGCTTTCCAATGGTACCGTATACTTCCCTTCTCCTACTGACTTTCGTAAAACATGGTGTGTCACCCAGCTCAACACATGACAGTCGTTGAGCGATAAAGTATGCAATCAGGACAATGCTTTTGGTTTGCTTATATCGGAACAAGTAGAACAGTATGACAAATGAAGAGCTGGAGAGATAGGGGATTTAGAAATGCTGTGGAAAGCAAAGTGATAATATCTTGGATCGAACAAAATACTGTAACATAACTGTGGCCCTACTACACCTTCTTGGGACGTTCGGTTTACCGGACGCTATGCTTCCTCCTCGTGGCCTCATGTACTCTGACAGATCGATTAATTAATAAACCGATTCTCTGAAGTAGAGGATGTGTTCACTCTCAATACGAATACAAATTCGGGCTGGTAGCACGAGATTTGCGGATTTATATTTGGGAATATCCCTTCTAAAATTAACTTTGGTCATTCAAACCCCATATCCGGTTGCATGATGAGACTGGAGCTTTCTAAATTATCCAACGTGTAGGCTAATTTCAAGTGAAAAAGCAGAGTGAAACAAAAGACACTATCTTGATTGCATGTCAAAGCACTGAACTTCTCTCAGTAGGTGAATTATTCGAGTTATTGAAGAACTGTAAAAATGGCAGAACTCATCCACTGAACCCGGGAGTTTCTAGGACATTTAGCTTCAGTAAAACCTAATTTTCTGTCCCTTGTATAGGGCTGAAAGTTTTATGCACGGCGCGCAAAATTTCCGGAATTATTTTCGCACAGTATAACTGATGAGTTCGGTAACTTCTAGCCTGAAAATTCATATTTTGTGTTGAAGAGACCTGAAGATAAATGGTGTTGCACGTTTGGCGGGCAAGAGGACAAAGGTTCAACCTCTCGTTTAGCAGGGAGATCAGGCACCTGCCATCGACTGGACTTGTTTATATTATGTGTGTTCAGCTGCGAACATAGGACTTTCCGCTCCTGAGCATGGGGTTGATATTGCCGTCCTATCTATTGTAGAAGAGATATGATGACGGTGGTAGACACGTTGCGGGTTTTTACCGACCTCCTATGGACACAGTTTAGCAAAAACCCTAAAGTATGTACAGGAAGACAGAGTGAGGAGAGTCTTTGAGTAAGACGTTTTTAACCACGGGTTATCAAAAATTGGAGTACCACTGAACCTGTAGAAAGCGATTACTAAGAAGCTGCCAAAAGTGAACATTTCACGCAATCTTATCGCCATGGTGGCCTTGAATCACGGCTTTTCGACAAATAGGTAGACATTCTACTGCTGAGTGTCGATACATACCCAGTGCTGTCGAATATGAATATCGATGATGTTATGCACGCTCTCTCGAGAGAGAGAGAGAGCCTGCAGTTGTTTTTTCTAGGGTTGTTTTTCGTACAGTCATTCTCTTTTCGCGGGATCTTTCTGCTCGAGCTAATGGCTGTTTAGGAGTATTCCTGAATCAAATCAACAACGAGGTTGTTGAGTTGTTACCTTGACTGCGGCTCCCAAGCTTTGCTGACTAACCGAGCCACCCCATCGCATAGTAGATTCCAAAGCTTCATCCCCTCGTTTCAAGTTATAACACCAAGAACGGCCAAACTGCTACAACCAATAACAAGTTGTTGGAAGTCTTCTGTCATTTCGGCTATCCTGACAACTAAACAGTTTACATCGTCTCTTTTCAGAGACTCTTGCCTTGCTAGTGGGAGCAAACACGTGAGAAAGCTCCATATAACCCACAATTGTATGGCACGGCAAGGAGACTCGTGGATACGTTCAAAAGAACTTTACTTAAGACGGAGGAAGATGGAACCACAGTGGACATACTACAGCAATTCCTGACTCCCGATTCGTCCACACCGGAGGGCAGATCAACTGCACAGACACTAACCTACCACCCTCTTCGAAGCACCTTTGATTTCAGTGTTCGGTAGATTGGCTGATTCGCAAGTTCGTTTGTTTTTGGTTTGGCTAGGCGCCTCAGGCTATCAAGCGGCCATCCGGAATCGGGTTCATTGTATTAGTCAATCATTTAATTTTAATTACTCACTTAATTTAATTGATTAATCATTCAGAAAACTGTAGCCGACATAAGGTCGGCACATTCGTCCAAGTTTCACCTTCCTAGAGCGATGCGATTTTGTCTGTCTCAAAATACTAGCAAATCAGAAGCATCTCGTACCAGGATAGTCTTAGGAAGAGATCTACTGGAGGAACAAAAGGTTTATTTCACCTAGCAATGACGACATAGGCTGCAGATCCGACCTCTTTCAAACTATCATTTTTGAAATAAACGCATTTCTGTCGACAAGATGGCTGACCAGGGTATTCCTGTAGTGATTTTGAATAAAACTTACGTGATCAAGTTTTCTCATTTGAGAATTAAATGTTATCTCATGATCCAGACTGATTCGCATCGTCTGTTGGTCCAGCACCTCCATGCTGTCTGAACTAGTTTTCTCATCCAACCCCTTCGCCATTTGATAGAACTGAACACAAACTAGATCGATATCCAAATTTTGATACGTTTGGTCCAAACATCGCCCCATATCGTCAATAGCCGCATTTTGTTCACACAATTGTTCCAGCAAGTCAAGTTGTTCATGGTAGACTTTTACCTTGACCCAAAGCTCAGTGACCCTTTTGGATGCAACAGCCAAGTTCCAGTAAAGTTCACCAAGGAGTTGAGCAGCACTGGCTAGGTGGAGATGAAATACACATTCTGGTTCGGATTCCTCGAACCGCCTATCCATCATGCTTTCTTCGAAAGAAGGATCCATCATTGTATCCGAACTCAAACCAAAGCTACTTTTTAGAGCATCGACCTGCCGTTCATATTTTTTAATCAGAGATTCCACAGACGACGGCTCACCAGAACAAACGGCCTTCTGTTCTTGCTGTCTGAGTTGGTCAAGGATTATCTCTGTTGATTGCATGGAGCATACGGACAGGTCCGTGAGTGAGGGGGAGCTGGAACACGACACAGGATGGAAATCTTCAACGCTGTTCTGGTTGACACCAGAATACGCACCGTCTGGTTTCGCTGCATATCTGAGAATCAGTTCGTTTTCCAGTATCCTTTGTTGACTCCGCAAATGTTGAGCACATAGGACAACATCGTTGTAGTTGGTGGGATCAATGTCTTCAAAGGACGGCAACTGACAACGGCATTCGCGATCCTGAACGTTGAATGGAATGGCAATACAAATATCAGGCAACTTAATTAGAATGTATAGGTTTATTTGTTTTTATGTAAGCATTGTTCATTAGCCAGGTATAAAACTCAAGAGAATGGAAGATCTCCCCTAGAAACTGAGCAAAGTCAGTTTTCGGTAAAAGCTTCTCGAACCACATGGTCTGCATAAACCCATAAATTAGCGTAAATCGAACCAGCCCATTGATTCATTAATCCACAAAGATGTCAAAAATTATAATCACTTGATATAAGTGACTATCTCTGATTTAGGTTTCCCCTCTCAGGATGTGGAATGAACTTGCTGGTCAAATTTAATTACCAGCCCCTAATTCGTGTTCGCATGAGTTTAGTAAAAATATTTTGCACTGTTGGCGTACAAAGCACAACAACAGATCCTTCGAAAAGGGATGTCTCACACAATTCTGGAGTTGGGTTTGATTGACTGTTAAATTTTGTACAGGAATTGAAGACAGTCTGCAATGCTGGGCACATTTCCACCAGGTCGAAGATTCCTTTTAAAATGACACTGATTTTATGATCGGAGAGATTTTTGAAATGATATATCAAGAATATTCTTGATTGGCAGAAGTCTTTGATGCGCTGGCGATTGGTGATAATGGGGCACAAAAGTGTGAAGATGAACCTCGGTTAAACACTACTCACACTTAAGTTCGAGGCAAAAATTTCGGAGGTCAGTGCGCCACGGTCAGTATGTTAATACTTCTTCCTCTGACCAATCATTACTGGAACTAAAACCCGATATCAAAGTATGCAGGTATGTATACGAACCATAACTAACATGTGGTGCTTTGGCTGAGATTTTTAGCCTGGCCCATGTCAGTGGTGACACACCGCCTTCTACCCTATACCGAATTGCGTTTTAAAGGAAACCGGAAACCAGTGGCGCCAAGAGATGCGCAAACATTTGTCGGAGTTGGAAGCAGCAATACTACTGACGAGACTAGTCGCCTTTGTTCTCACTGAAGTCTTTGCCATTTGAAAGAAAGGAAACTCAAGATGAGCTTCGTTCACACTTTAAATACCCATCCATTCATAAGGGAACGATTTGTTTTCCCATATTTTGCTGAAAGCGAAAGATAGGAGAAGGGAATATACTTAAGCCCAGAACAAAAGTTTCTCGTTGAAACTTCCCTGTTTTCATTGGTAATTGACCAGTTGACTTTCGATCTATTCGCCGACACTGGCAACTAGCTTGCAGACGTTTCGTCACAATTCGTGGAGACACCGTCTTTGCGCTGTCGGGTAGGTAATTCCTCCGTCGTGCTTACGCTTACATAGTTAGCAAAGAGCACTGTTTGACAATAATCTGATTGGCTAGTAATGAGCATAGCACTTGAAGTCTGATTGGTCTGTTCGTTGTCTGCACTGCATTGCCGACGATGCGCCTTTAATTTTGCTGTCTTCGTTCTGAATGGTTTACTGCCACACAGCAGTTTATTTTCGTGAGCCTGATAGGCTGATGTGAATGTCTTTTGTCTCTTTGGTTTTCGGAACTAATGAGAGCCGCCAGTTCCGGTCCAACCAATTTGTCTTTACAGCTACAATGTATATCTTTGTTTTAGTTCTATCGGTTTATTTCTTCAATCCTTGTTCAGCTGAGGGTTTTTTTTATTCTGGATTCCTTTGCCCTTGCACTGCATTGCCGACGATGCGCCTTTAATTTTGCTGTCTTCGTTCTGAATGGTTTACTGCCACACAGCAGTTTATTTTCGTGAGCCTGATAGGCTGATGTGAATGTCTTTTGTCTCTTTGGTTTTCGGAACTAATGAGAGCCGCCAGTTCCGGTCCAACCAATTTGTCTTTACAGCTACAATGTATATCTTTGTTTTAGTTCTATCGGTTTATTTCTTCAATCCTTGTTCAGCTGAGGGTTTTTTTTATTCTGGATTACCTTTGCCCTCAAAGTTCATTGACAGGTTAAATATGAATGCGTTTGTTTATTGCTCCATTAGTGGGCTACCACGCTGGTAAACGCAAGCATAACGGGAAGAACTGTCCATTCAAAAAAGCATTCATGGTGTCTCCACGAATGATGACGAAATGTCTGCAAGTCGACTGCGAAACAAACCAACATCCGTCTGATCAGTTAACAACGAAGGCACTGGAGCTACCGATATCCCAACACATTTGCTGACTTCACCCAGAGCCATGACCTACAGGCCATTCATTCCCCGTCAAAGTTGTAACCAAGTAATATTACGTTTCTTGGGCAAAAGAACAGCGAACCAGGGGAGCTGAACTTTTTCGGCTTGAAAGCCGAAATTCCCTTTGATTCATGTAACATTTGCTCATTCTGGGGGTATCCCACAGTTAGACGTAGTCGAAAATGCATTGTCAACATGGTTCAACAACGAGGGTACTCCATTTCATGACTCAGTAAAAGGCAATTTTGTTCATTACGGCGTACAAAGGTACATTGTTCCACGGTGTATGTTACAAACAAACAAATTCAATATAGATCATTAATATACATTCATCACTGACCTTGATCCAATAGAGGTACGCCTCAATATCCTCCTTGATATGTAACGCCTGAAGCCGTTTTGCGTTCCACTGCCTCAGTCTACTGACACTCGATGTGAGACAAGAGTTCATGCCCTCCATCCAGTTTACAACACGTTTCACACTGTCTCGCAATTCCTCCATTATTGGTGAGCCGATTATCTTAAAGTCCTCTGCTTCTGTCAGCTGAATCAGTGCGTGGGCTGAGTTCTCCCATTTAAGAAAGCACAGTAGATCTTGCTCGCAATTTTCCAGAGCTACTTCCATTTTGGTTCCCTGCTCTGCGCCATACTGATTTATTTCTTGCACTCTAAAACATACCTGCTTTAGTATCTCCTGGAATTCTACCAACAGTTGATACCATTTTTCCATACAGTTGAGTGCATCGGCGCGGCATTTTGTTCTTCCCCTTAGTGATGACCAACGTTCCACCAAGTTTTCCCACCTTAGTCTCCTTTCTTGGTTCTCGTTCGAATGCCACCCAAACTCCAGTTCCTTGACCATCAACTTTAGTTTTTGGATGTGAATATCTGCATAAACATCCATGTCAATGATCCAAGCGGCATGTTTTCGACAAACTGTGGTAACTGGAAAGCTTTGAACGGGAAAGCGGTGTAGCTCAGAGTCAGTCTGAACGAACTCTGCGAAGGTTGGTTGGAAAAAGCAGTCGATTGGTTTGGCATCCGTTCGAAAATGGACTAAGTCTGTCTGCTCGGCCACAGAGATGAGATGTTGATTTTCATCAAGCCAGTTAAGAAAAATTTCGACTTTTCGGTCAAACCGTTGCCTCAAATGGTACAAACATGCCTACACAAAAAAAGTAAAAAGCCATAATTGTAGCTTTGACTTGTTGAACATCGACATAATTATTGCTTTGTTGTAAAGTCTGTGAATAGTTAAGCCCGATTTCCACACACAAGGGTGCTGTGACATAGCGTAACATTGTTTTCTGTGGTATGGTATGATATCGTATGGTCGTTGGTTTGTTTGCTGAGCTGGGATGCGTAGCTACGCAACACCAAGCTTCCTGACAACGCACTGATCATGTCACCTCGATTGGTGATGAAAACTTTGCAGTAAAATTACCAACCGCCATCTATGTCACCTGAGCTACCAACGTTTTCTTCTATAGCACCGTATATTGTGGCGAAACCTAGCATGGTATTGCACAGAGAACAAGATGCGCACATATAGAATGTTCTGCGCTGCTCAGGCAGAGTGATACTATGGCGATATCAAATTATCGGTGGCTTTCGACGTGTTTATTGGTTGCATCAGGACTGGGAATCGTTTCACCAGCCGAGGGAATACCCAGCCATGTATTCCAGACGAAAAACAAGGCAGCATACAGGTCGAGAACTAATAGTTTAACTTCCACCATTTACTGCTTAGCGATTCATTCAGTCATAAACTTTGACACATGCATAAGAATAGACATGAGGGTTAGGCTTGATTAACCCGTTGCATATAGCCTTTACTATGCAGTCCATGTTGCAAGCTAACCAGGTTAAAATCCATTTAGTTCTAGTCACTTCTGTGACTAGTGGTGATCGGATATCCGCCTAATGAGAGTAAAGGGATAGCCCCGGTGACGGACGCTGAATGGATATCTATCATCCATCTCCGTCGGCTGAAAGTTCCACACTGTGGTCTGTTCCTTTGCCCCACTTATGTGAAAAGTATAACAGTCTCACCAATGAGTTTGATGGCTTTCTGGAAAAGATAAGGCCTTTGTCTTCATGACTGTCTAAATAGCGTTCAGTCGTTTGGCGTTGGTGGAGGTGCAGTACTTTTAGGTTAACATAGTTTGGTTTATCACTCAAAAATTAGCCTTTCCTGCAATTGCATAGCCACGGAAGGAAGTACACCATTACTCACTCTGCTAGACAGTTCTGGGGACGTAGAAAGCTTTGTGACGTTTACCTACATAGCGGTGCCGATGAAGTGTTTACCGACATTGGACACAGCGTCTACTGAATGCATCACTTACGGGGACCAATAGGTAACTTCTGTCTTGTACGGGTCTCCATTATTCAACTTATTTTCAAAGAATCAACCAGGTTTGGTTGCTTCTGATAGGTAATCTCCCTCTCTCAGCGGGGGCTGATAGTAACAACTGTTGGTCTGATTTGACCTGATCGATAGTTCATTCCAGTCTGTATGTGCGGTAGCAAACCCAAAACATGTCAGTTGGTTCAACTAGATACTACAGACAATAAATTTACGAAAGAAAAGGAAACAGGCAAAATGACTAGACAAAGTTCCCTGTAATCATCACTACTTTTTGTCTCATACTTGAATTCATGTTTTTTATTCGGTCACTCTATTCTGTGGTTCAGTTTTGAGTCAAACTGGGTTGGAAAAAAGCCCCACGTTCATGTAAAAACCAATTATAGGGTCGGACGACGCCTAGCCCTGTGGCCAAATTGTAGATGTGAGCACAACTTGAATGTCTGGGATGCTCATAAAAGTAAAACGAAAATTATCAGTAGGCTCCCGCCACGGAAAGCCAAATTTATGTGATTGCAAACGCAAAATGAGAAACGCCCCATATTTTTCGTTTTGGGACTTCCTCTTGTAGACTGTACTCCCCAAGTATGGGAAACGAATGTACCGTCCAGTAGCGGAACTCGTGAAATGTTTCATGATGTCCCGATGGATGAACATTGAGCCCACAGTTTTTCAATCGTCCAACTCAAGCAATAAAACTTGGACATTTGGTTCAGGTTGTGCCGGGGATACATTATCACACAAAGATTCAAGATTGTAATTTGTTGCAGAGGAACGGAAAGCTTCTATGGTATCGTTGGTTGATATCTTGGTAATGTCTTGAATAAAGCAAACGGTCTGATTCATGGAGGTCTCTTCCGCATCGCGTCTTCAGTGCATGTAAAGTGGACTGTCTACTCAATTGCTTGGTAAAATGTGCACATTTTAGTAAGAAGTTTTCAGTCGGAGTAATACATGCTCACAGTATGATATGTTTGGCTGAGTCTTCAATATCCAACAAACGCACGTCTTGATAGAAACCCAAAGTAGGGAGAACGATGGAAACCGGTTGGAAACCTATGCAATTTACGTTGTTCCAAAAACCTGTTTCAATCAAACTTGGAATTGTCAGTGAAGCGAAATACATGTATACTGATTGTGGTTCCCAAAGTAAATGCACGATGATGAGTCTGATGATGAAGATACAACCGGTTTCTGTGGAATGTGGATAGCTCGGGTGCGTTGATCTGTTCGATGAGCTTGAAAGCTGGACTGCAAAGGTTTCATCACTAACCAAGGTGACATCGTCAGTGTGCCGACGACCAAACAGCTGGTTTCGCAGCGCAACGAAAACGGCCAGTCTTCTATTCCTGTACCAAGTGGGTCGTTAGGAATACTGTTATTCCGAGGAAAAAACGCTCAGAAACTTTTGAGGGATTTGTCCCTTTTACACGCAGGCTAGTTACTGCTGGTCAGATTGTTCGGCCTGTCTCGTAAAAATGAGACAGGGATCAACCTAACAGTGTTGTCAGTCGTATGGTCATGGCAGAGAGCTGAAAACGCACGGCGCAGCCAACAGAAAGTTAGGATGTATGGGCGAATTGCACAAAAAAATTTTGAATTATTGCTTAGGAGTCAAGTGAACTGCTTCGTTGTATGGCTATCGACAACCAAATATTGAGGTCGCAGTCGCTTTTGTGACCAACATGCTCCAATTAATTACGAGAGCATAGTTCGCATGGGACGTTGATAAAAATGTTAATCAGCCAATGGTCAAACATTCAGAGAAATGCCATGGTGATTTCTTGAAGACCGAAAGACACTGGTCTGTGAACAATTCTTCAAGTATGATTCACAGAGCGTCATTCATCTTAACCTCTAGAATTTCAAAGTTGCCTGGCTCATGCGTTATTTTCATCATAATTACGTGCGGGAAATCATATTCCACACTCACCTGTCGCAAAAGTTGATTTATGATGGCCAGGTGACAGTTGTGCTCACTGGTTGAGAGCTCGTTCGAACCGGCTTCAATATCTGAGAGCTGATAACCCACTGGTGGGTGGAAAATGATTTGGGCGGCTGCCAACTGACCAACTTGAATCTTGTGCAGCAGGAACTACAGGTAGAAAGACAGCGGAAATTTGGACCAGTCGTGCAACTCAAAGAAATAATATAAATCTAAGAATAGAGTCTAATTTATTAGACGTTTGCGCTTTCGTTTTCCGAGGAACTGCTCGTCTCAAATAACGAGATTTAACAGGTGTGAGTGAAATGTAAATTCTGAATTTCTGACACGCACATTCGATTGTCACTTCTTGAGCTTTATGCAGTGGAAGGTGAAATCATTCATAACATGGCAAAGTATACACTTAAGACGTTCTGCATGGTGAATACATTGAAAACCCTCTAAGACAAACATTTTTAAACAATGAAATGATGACTGTCAGCTTGATATTGAGCAACCTATTTCACGGGTTTTTATAATATCCACGAATTTAGCAACCTTTCCTACATGTTTTTTACCCCCGAAATTTCACCCCAGTCCCACTGCTGTTGTTATTCGTTACGTCAGATAATGGCCGCCATGACATCAGTCGTAGGACATTTGAAGGGGGCAAAGCTGATTTGTTGATCACAAAGCAAGATTTCAAAACGTGCATACACTCCAGGGATACTACGTGGTAGCATGCAGCGAGTTTGTTCCCTAGTGAGTTCGACAACTTTCGAATTCCTCAGTCAGTTAGCGTTTCCAGGCGAACACAATTACTGGAGGTGTTATCATCGATGGATTTCAACTTCAAACGACTTGTGACATTTCTGGATAGATTTTTTGTCCAATGGGTGATAGGTTTTAAATTATGGCCTCAATTAGTTTCGTGCAGGTACAGTGCTGGTGGCATGTTGGTTGGTTAAGTGGCTCTGAGGATGATTCCCCCATTCGTACGGTGTGAAGTTTCCAAGAAAGGAAGCAAACAAAGAGTCGGACGCAAATGACATCAATCTAGAAGTACAACACGCGTCCAAACACAGATGAAGTTTGTGCACTCATTTGGTCAATTTATTTGAAGAAACATTTCAAGATTTATGATTTAGATTGATGTACAGGGCGAATTATGTTTGCTGAATACTAACCAGTGATTCGCTGATGAGACTGAAACACTCATTTAGAATATTCCTCTGATTTTGCTGAGCCGTGTGAACTGTGTGCACAAAACCGCTGAATACTTTTGAAAACTGTGTGAACTTTGGCTAGAATGCGATGCTTCAAGCGAGGGAATACAGCAATGCAAAAAGCGGGCTTATATATTTTTTTTCATGCAACGCTGTGTATATTACGCTACCTAGCAGGTCAGCTCAGAGCAGCCGTACGTTTCGGATATTTGCGTCTCTATAGAGACACATTCGATCGACTGCTGAATGAGTCCGTCGGAAGACCCAGTGATTTGCAACGATCAGGACTTTTGTTCAGACAGACAGTAGCACCGCCCAAAATACGCTTCAGCTGCTGTCGACTGTTAAGTGCTAATCCTAAGGATATAATACCCGTCCACGAGCCCTCGCTGTTTGAACATTGTTCGCGAATGTTCTCCGGGCTGTGTGCGTCGAAAGACTGTTTATGTCGTGAAATCGAGAGTATGTATCGATCCAACCAGAATTTAGAACCGAAACTCATACTTAATCAGTTGGTTAAGTACGACTTTCTCCAGCTAGCTTATTGTGACTTGTGCTGAAGGTAACCATATGCGCCAAATTTTAGGCTTGTATAAGCATGACTGTGCTATGTTTTTTGGAAAAAAGAATTCATCTGATCTACATTCCTTGCGATTTAGTTATAGAAATCTTAAACGTTTCGTTTCTTTTTTTACTGATTTTTTGAGACGCAGTTAAATACTGCTTCCAAATACTATCTAATTTGCCCAAAAAGACATTGTATCATTATAACGTGATAATCTCTGTCGTCGGTCTGGTGCTAGTGAGCACGAATATCGATCTCTGCATGGAAAATTGGTCTTTGCAGGTTGAAAACCGTTGGTTATATTGTTCCCTTGATTAGTTTGTGAGTAGTTCGGCTGTTTCATATCACAGAGATTAGCATGTTTTTTTACAAAACTGTAATACTAACGACTTCTATCAACCTTCCTTAGTTTTAGACACTGTAACGTAGATCCATCTGTACACTGAAAACAATTCAGAGGTACAGAGAGGTATTGATGCCCGTGCATTTCCATTGTCTTTTATTGTACTACAAAAATTACCCCATTCTCATCATCCTCATCATCGACAGTACACCAGCGTTCATCACTGATAATTCTCCATCGTACCTAGACTCACAGTAACATTTTCTTTGTTAATGCAATGAGAAGATTCAATGTGGATACGGCTATGGCATCAGGTTTACTGGAAAATGCTCTCCAGTTTCTAAGTTTTACTAAAGTACCCAAGGTCTTAGTGTTAGTGGGGCAACCATGTACACATCTTGGAATTTCTCCATCCTCTGCTTTTGTCAGCCTAACTAACCTGTTTTATGGTTATATCCTGCATGCCTGACCTTGCTTAACCTCCCCCGTGGTCACAAACATACTCTAATAGGCAAATGACACCTGGCCTAATCGTTTTGCACATGTCATTGGCTAAATTTTCCAAGTACAACCAAGCCGCGTTTCGGTCTTTTTACTTGTCTAAAGTTGTGTGTTTCCCAAGCCAGGGTTCCCACTAGAAGAGTATAAATGGAGTTTCTACCTCCCAGTCAGAGGACATGGGTTTCTCCCATGTTGCCGCGTGTGACTGAAACGTTGTTTTCTCTTATGATCGCTAATATTGATGCCGGTCCTGACTAGAGCCGAAGATCAGTGCATTTGTTACCCTTTGATTCATCTTGTTCTCCACGCTCACGTGTTGTGTTGGTGTCACATGGATTCTAAACGGTGATTTCCCAACCCAGTCACTACATGCCCAATGGTCCCATCCTATGTGGGCAATGGAGTACCTCCAGGTCATCCATTACCACCTTGAAAGCACCCTAACGGGTGGCTCCCGTTAGGTAAGCATACGGCTTGTATCATCTTACGCATGCCCATTTGCCGACCTTATTCCATCGAGCTTAAAAATGCACCAAGAATTTGCATAGAGTTTTGGACCCCAAAAATGACTTCCAGTTAGCAATGTGTGGAATGCAGGCAGCTTGGGTGCGCTGCTTGGTTGTTGATCTGTTCCCCGAGTTTCGCAGTTGGATCGCAAACGTTTTATCACCAATCGAGGTGACATCGTCAGTGCAGGTTTGAGTGGGTCTTCCAGTTGTCTGTTGCCCGACAAACCCGTTTCGGATGCAGCAAGACAGACATGCTTTATGTTATAATTGGGCCCACAATTTTACTGTAACAACAAAGGGTCTATAACGGTTAATTTTCAGTACAGTCTATAAAACTTTCCACGTAGGCACTTTTAGATATAAGATCCCAAAAGTTAGGTTGTCTAACTTTTCATTAAAATTAACTTTAAGACTGAAACCGACGTTCCATGCATCAATTTCCAGTCTAGTCTAAAGATAAAAAGCGAAGAGGAGATCTTTGGGGGGTCCTCGAGAGAGTTTAAATGCGTCTCTCACCGGCAGAATACCGGTGAATGACTGCAAAGTAGTTGACTTGAGTCAGCAAAAACAGGTTTTTTTGTACATCACAATGGGGAGTAGATACGATATCTAGAAAAAAAGTAGAAAAACTAGCCCGAGATGCCAACGAGTGTTTGTTTGCCAGCTAACATTTAAAAAGGTTTTNCATTCCAATGATCTATCAATTTTTTTAACGGCATGAAGGAGCGAATCGAAAAGAAGAATATCATCCATACGGGGTGGGAGCACATCTCATCGGATTTAGCCTCATTGGCTGATTGAAAATGGCAATCTTGTGAACTGCTTTACTGGACACTTGACCGTTCGTTTACGACTTGTTTGTCCTACCAAACGGTATTTCAAAGTTTGTTGACCATCGCGCGGAGTACATGATCTACATGCGTGCTAACAAGTTCGTCACACTTTGTCCACAGACCAGGCAATTTTAGCACCGAGTAAGATAGTTTAGCTTCATTTGGGCAGAGGTCACCAAAATGCATACTCTAGGTCATTTATTTCAGTTTTAGATGACCGATTAAGTGGGAGAGAAAGCGACCCAAAACGTCACGTGAACATCATACTTGCACGTACTTCGATTTGACCCCTCTCCTCAATTTTATCAGCTTTCTCCCCTTGTCTCCAGTCCGCCATCTTTTGTAGTTCCGTGCGAATAGAGAGTTCAGCTCCGGTCATTCCATACACGTCTCTGGTCTCGTTATTGCCCACCGCTTTCCTAATTTCGTCCAGCCTGATTGTGGCGGAGCGGACCCATCTCAGCCATCGGTGAGCACGAACCAGATAACGACTTATCATTCGATCTGAGCAAACACAGTGATTCAGTACGTGATTGAGGCGATTGGCGGAGCGCCAGGCAGACTGAGAATCATTCAACCACTTGTACCAGGTGACCACAACAGTAAGTGTGCACCGTTCATCCGCCCACCAACCTCCGGCGAAATCGGACGGCTCAATTAATTTCGGAATTCCCAAATAGTCGTCCGCCTGGTTAAAGACAATTTCAAGGCGTTTCTCAGGCTCATTGTCCAAGCTGAGCATTTGATTGAAATCGATCATTTCAGGATGGTGTCGATGAAGAAGCGCACAGAATGCCAGTCCATCGCGCCAGCTGGATGTGAAGTCGACAATGTCCACCTATAAAAGAATTGCACAGGCAAAGGGTCGTTTGGACAATTAGGTGTAGAAACAAAGTCAGTGAGTTACTGAGAACAAAATATATCGGTTACCCGCCCTTGGGCCCTAGCTCGAAAGGACGGCCGGCTTTAACAAATGATCACAAGTTATCATCTAACTCAACATCGACGAACAATCTGGTGTTCGCCTAACCATCAACAAAGGTGTGTGTATACCTTTTTTTACACACTCCAAGTCTTTAACCTAGTAAAAGTGTCTCAAGTTTATTCAAATAGTTTTCTGTTTATCGCCGACTGTTCTCCCATGAATATATTTTACTTCGTACACTAGCTTTCAAACCAAATTGTCTAACATAGGCTCTCCTCTGCTGTAAAGAGGACTTTGATTTTGAACTTCAGAGGACATTTCAGGAGAAATCGCAACGGCTGACCTACTGTGAGGATGCTATATGGAGGTAACGGAAAAACTTGGACTCGAAAATCCCTAGATTAGTTCCTCGTATTAAAGCCTTTGAGCTTTCTCAGATCCAAATGAAGTTTTAGACTCATATACAAAGCATACTCTACTTACAAATGTAACTGTGCAAGCCTTATGAATCACGCTTGTCTCGTCGGAGCTTTGGTTGGGGATAAGCACCACTTGGCCACGTCATTTGACTCCTTCATGATACTCCTTCAAACCTTTCCCCAAAAAACTATTTATAATGCGATCAAAAAATCTCCAACGGCCCACTGGCGGTTTCGTCCTCTTTGGGTATCTTCAGGTAGGGGTAGTCCTTGAGGATCCATTCCCTTTATGTTTTACTTAGACTGCCAGTGGAATTCAAGTGGCGGAATACACTCTTCTTCAGATTACAATTGGTGGTAGCAAGTGATTCAACCAAATACCTGGTCCCTCGCATAAACGTGTTGCGAAACTCCCTCATTTATTTCCTTAAAATTCTTGCAAAGTACGCATTATTGAAAATACTTCCCACATCGAGGACCACCGGGCCTTGTGTTTCTAGTTTGGGTGGCCCACCAGACTTGCCTCAAAATAAACTGCAATCCAATTATCTCTTCTGAACCCTGAATAAATCAGTCCATTACTTATTCGTTTGAATGACAAACAAAAGTATTCAGTGTGATTAGCGAAATGCACTCCTTTGTGAGCCAATTTGGTTTTGTAAGAGACTAACTGGAATGCAGGTTTAAAATATCATAAAAACGGGAGATTTAGCTGGGTTCCAGATGAATCTACCGCAAAACCAAATTGGTTTGTAACTGAGTGTAGTTTGCTAATTTCGTGCATGTTGGGTTCAAGTAGAACACAAGACTGACGGAGACTCAGGTACGGCGCATTCCTGATGGGCCCCAAATGGGGAAAAACCGGTCATGGGCTGTCAAAAAAATTTCATCAACCTTATGAGTAGTGAATTACGTCTATTCAGTGTGAAATGTCTTTGGGCCAGACTTCTAAAAAAGAAGATACCTGGTTTAAGCTGCCCGAAAGACCTTCAATTGTGAAGTAGCGTGATAGCTGAACCAAATTCAGTATCCAGTGATTAATTTTAAAAAGAAGTCCCGCTTTATAAGCTGTGTTCTCTAAGCTAATATATTCTAAGTCAGCCAACTGATACCGTGAACTTCGTTAGCATGGAATAGATTCATGCTCAAGATATCTGGGTATGTCCTACATTCAAATGGACGGTAAACTTTGATAAGCTTACATAATTTTTACAGGAATTTTTGCAAGCAGTTCGAAACATTCTTTATGGTCTCAAAAATGCAACCGTGTTTCACTACATGTTGGGTATCTTGGGGTAACTTACTCGATCTGTGTTAAATCGCAGTCCATTTTCAGTTATAATATGGCGTGTTAAACTTAAGCGTGCAAGCTTTAGGAAGTTTCCAGGAAGCAATATTTCAGCAAGCATGATACCAACCCAGTAAGAGGTCATTCAAACCTACTCTACATCGGCGACATTGAGTGAACTATTACTCACGATAGGTTCCCTCAAGATCATCATTTCATTACTTTATTGGAATTTTGATGGCTTGGTTGAAGTGTTACCTCCTCCTTAAAATAAACGTTCGTTTACTTGTTATCCCTAGACTCTTTTACAGAGTGCACGAAATTCTTGTTTTTTTCTTGTGAATGCGTCGCATTTTTGTACGATGTGAGTTATGCTCGCGAATGGTTATAATCTTATCGGGTAGTTTATGTTTCTGACTGTTTGTGGTAAAAATGATAGTGTGTAATTTTGAAATGCACTACTAGCTGGAATAGATATCCCGGTTCAATCCTGAGCAATAAGATCAGCGTCAGTGAAATACGGTTCTACACACAAAGTATTCATTACTTCCCTTAATTAAAAAAGATGTTTAACCGAGCTGCATGCATTCTCTGAAATCGCAGGATGGGTCGTCTAAGCGCGATAGTTATCCGCCCAGAAACTGCAATTTAGATGTTGCTCACTAGTTGGCAGTTATAAAATAATTCGACCTACTAAGCTGTTCATCTAATTTGCAGTTGTCTAAGGTCAGTTAGTTTGGTTCTTCATGACACAACTCCTGAATTTCTTGTTCAGTCGATCGTCTCCAACTCTGCTGGTACTGGGTTATTCGTCTCACCAATCTACAATTTCAACGAACGTTGTGCAATTTTTATTGTTGTCAGACGTTCATTCATAAACATAAAAGAATCACGCTGTTGGAAATCTGTTGGTTTTATTAAAGATTCGTTCTTTCAAAAAAATTAATTTCCATAGCTTACGAGGTTAAAAAGTGAGTTGATTTTATCCAAGTGGAAAAACCTTTCATCAGGTGGATTTTAGTGGTGCACATTCTTGTGATTTGAAGACCCACTGGCCAGCATATTGAAACACTTCATCAGATTGTGACAATTGTGTCAGCTCTGACGTAGGTTAGAAACGATTTGAGCAAGCGGTGGCTTCAGGGACACTGATTTTGCACGGCGAATGATCGGGGGGTTTGTACTGCGAGCACAAAGAAAGAACTTAGCTTTCCAATTGATAAATGAGGAAGTAAAACCAACATAGAAAGGAACAATCAAGTAAGGCGAATAGAAATCGGTGGTGCTCGAAAAACTAAAAATACAGCAATATCCGTGTTGTATCTATTGTATTTTCCAGACACCGAAGTAAGTTGGAAGAATTGTCATGGAAATTAGAGCCCGGCGTGCTAGTTAAAGCGATTACGTCATTTATGAAAGACTAACCAATCAGAACCTGAATAGGTTTATCGACCGAAGTGATCAAATTTCGAGTGAGCGTTGAAATTTGACTACTGAGGATATCAAGGTCACCCCAAAAACCGGTAGACCTTCGGTAGATAGGGTATCGAGCTAGTGCCAATATGAAGACAATACTCACTCACAAAATCACAATCCCTTGCTTTTTTATGATTAAACTGTGTCTCAGAAAAGTGACTCAATCTAAACAAGAGTAGTTTGCAATGCAGTCCTGGCGATCGGTTTTCGAGGCTTTGAAGCAAAAGCGGGAAGATATTCGGATGAGTCATTCCACACAGCTCAACAAACGTACTGTTGAGATTCGGACCTTTGATCGACGTGTAGTTTCTACAATACAGAGTACCAAAAGGAAGGGTTGTGTTCGCAATTCCGCTGCACCATTCACACAATGGTAGGCAAGTGTATTCAATTGTCAACTGTCGTAGCGTCAATCGGTGCACAGGTCTGTCACTGACCGGCGCAGTGCAGTGTCAACGTCCGCATACCAAACAACGGTGAGCGCAATGTTGGCTAAGTAGTATGGGTTACGGTGGTCCCTTCCGACGAGTCTCCTGAATCTCATTTGTCATGAGAAAACAAGGCAAGCTCAGCGAACGGGACACGAACGCACACGGGTAACTAGGTCACCCGCGAACATTCACAACAGGCATACATAATAACACACAAGTGTCGGAGTGGACGGGCAAGGCGAGTGGCGGGTGCAGATAAGCAAAACAAGTGGAGGGTCAAAAGTACATAGGCGGAGTAAGCAAGTAAGTAGGGGGTATTAGCATGAGATCAAGTCAGATTCAATACGCACTCTCCCAAAACTTGTCGGCTGGTGGTTCTAAAAATCCTGTAAAAGCGGTTCGCGGGAAATCTCTGAATTATCGACGTTTTCAGCCATTCTATATCATGCGTTCAAAGCACAGCAGTTAATCTCACACAAAAATGAGATTCTTTATTGGTCAAAAACTGGTTCTTTTTTAATGTACTACTCATAAGGTTGCTGAAGATCCATCGACACCCCACGAACGGTTTCGCCCTTCTTGGAGCTCATGAGTAGTACATTACAAAGATATACATGTATCGCGATATTTCAAATATCGTAGCGACTGAAACATGATGCGGCCCGGTGCAGCACATTCAGTTGCCTGAGAACATCATAAACGAGAGATTCTGCTGGGTTCAGGTGAGTCTCACGAAAGAACCAAATTAGTTTGCAAATGAGTGTATATTCGCTGGTTTGTTTTGAATTCGACCAACCTAACCCCAGGGTTTGTGATGCACAGGTACCACCACGCCCAGATCGCGACGCTTGCTCGACTACTTAGACTGAGTGGCAAGCTTCATGCCATAACTGAACGGTTTCTCGGGCAGAATGCATTGTCTTGCACATCACTAGTGCTCCTCTCTCTCGTCGCCTATTTTCAAGGTGACAGTGCAGTGGAACATTTGGATTCACCGATACGATCCATGAGTGACGCAAAGAACAGCCAGCTCATTGTGCGCAGCTCGGTGTGGCTGCCACAATCGGGCGTTCACCTTTCACTCTCATTGTGTTTACCTAGTCTTCTCTATTCAGCATTTATCTCCTCCCTCTCCTACACACAAAACAAATTTCCAGACCAATTTCGCTGTTTCAACCGGCGTGCTGCAATTGTTCATGACCGAATAGAAAGGATAGGCTAAGTATTGGTTTGTGAAACCGGATTGGGAAATGAGAAAATGAGACATAAATGGAAATAACGAAAAATCCGTGAAGCAATCACCTCAGGATAAGCCGCAGTTTTCAGCTGGCACCATAGTAGAAGAGCGTCCTTGGCGTGACGTGCTTCACCAGTCTCATCGGATTCCTGAACAACGACAGGCTGAACCTGAAGTTTGAAATATCGTGGGGATGAAAGTAAGCAATGTTTACTGGAAAAAAGTTAAAGATACACAAGAAGAGTCTGTCGTCAGTTTTTTGGCATTTACTGGAGTACAGAACTCTGATAGTCAGAATGCAAATCTCCATTCAGGTACTCCAATTGTGAATTATTTTATGTTCATCAACTGGGATCTTCGGGATTCCTAAGGGATTCTTGTTTTGTCTCTACTCTTCAAGTTAGTTCTCAGTGGGAAAGAAGGAAGAAACAGAATATGAAGTTCCGTATTAACAGTGTCAAAAAAATCAATGAAACCAACTGACAACGAGAATGATTCGTGCTTGAGTTTACCTCGAAGACTTCGTTAAATAGAAGGTTTCCGTATGAATTCAAACCTCATTGAGGAAGTTTCACACACGAATGATGTGTCTGGTGCCAATACAGAATGAACAAATGAGCTTTCATCCACATCTCCTTGGGTTTGAGGAGGTCTCTCGGAAGTCTAGGCCTATCTTTTAGGACCGTCGATTCAGATACCGTTTGACTTACGAAGCTAACCAGAGATAACCGCCCGCAACCAATCAAATTACATGTCAAAACCTGGTTTTCTTGCCCTGAAGACGAAACCTGTATGAAGCACAGCATAACATTGGAATTCACCACTGATGCTTTGCTGTCGTAAAACCACGATTTATTTGCAAGACTTATTGTGAAGAAAAGGATAAAAGTGGGTGGCGAGGGGACTTATTGCAAGCCTATCACAACAATGCGGAGGTGTCTACATCTCCAGACACTCACTTAGGTAATCCGGATAGAATCTTACAACAACACCTTCACTGACATCTATTAGTAGCCATATCTTGCAGCGTCTCCAGCTAGCACACTGGAAAACACGCGAGCCTCATCCTGGCAGGCTATAATTCTGAGATAACGCTGATCAAAGACCTGACGAGCTCTCACTTCTACTGCTCAAAGAGTCCACAACCCAAAGTCGTACAAAAAACAGTCTACTCTAAGACCTCAAGCGCACGTCCCTTTGAATTCTGTGAAGATGCCACTCTGTCGCCAGAGAGGCCTAAAATTGGCAAACTTCACCCGAAATGTAGAGATTCGTGCACTGTTTCCGTCTTTCACACTAAAATCGGAACTAATACAAACTTCTGGGTACGTGGAGTGTTATGCGGATGCAAGTGCCTCTTCTCGGATTATAACTGGGATGTCCTATGATTGCAGATTCAGAAGCATAATCTTAAAACGCATTCCAAAGGACGGGACTTTGATCAATTCATACGAAGCACCTGCGTCTTCTTTTCCCTTGTCAAAAAAGAGAAGGATATCTGCATGTTCGAAATCAGCAAGGTTTCCTTCAGCAGCTATCTGAACACCAGGATTTTGAAGGCTTTGCAGTGTTCGTCTTATCTCGTCGATCACGGAATTAAATTGGAATGGAATTAGTGGGCATCTTTGACGTATAACACTTTGTGTACGAAAGTTGTTGAAGAGCTCTTCAGGTATTTTTACACACCCGGATGTCTGAGAACACAAAGAACGTATTATGATCACAAACTTTCGGGGCATTTCTTGCTAGGGAAGCGTGTTAAGAAGAATGGAGTCAAATGTGCCTAAGTAATCCAGTAATATTAAAATTGTGGGTGATTTATACACATCACGGCGTTAAGATTTGGTCAGTGTAATCCCTACTAGGCCATAATCCCACTTGCTGTTCTCGATTCATCATTTCAAGAGACCCCATAAGGCGACGAAGACTAATTGACACCAGAAGTCTCGTTACGCCTTGAGTCAGGCTGATCCCCCTGTGATTGGAAATGTGTACTATCGCCAACTTGAGAAGCAAAACGGCATCTTTAGAAGAGCGTGGAATTGGCTATTGTTATTAGTGCTTAGATTGATGGCAACTGGAACGCCAGAGTTCAGTGTGGCTCTAAGCCTAATATGCGTAAGTCTTTCTGAGTTAAAGTGTAAGCTATACCATTAGTGATTCTTCGGACATTTTTCGGGCAATTCAAGCTTTGGTTACTAACTGTGTGTTTCTTAAATGCGAAGCTAAAGATAAATTCCTTTTTTACTGAAAACCTGCCTTAAACTAGGAATACTCTACTCCGACGCTGTCTACTGGGTACAAAAAGCAACAGTCTATCACCAGACTAACGGGCCGACTTGAGCTGGACTCGCTAACTGAAGGACAGAGACGGTCGTGGAAAGACTGCGTCCTCTTCCCATACGATGTTCGTGACTCCTACTGGTGTTGATCTTGCAGACAGTTTCGACAAAATCTCCCGACATCTTGGGTTGGCAGTTGCAGAGCACCAAGAACTTTTCAATCAGAATCTGCACTACCGTGGTGTTTCAGTTACAACTACCCTGTGGTCGGGCCTTTGAGCCAAAGACTGATTGAGAATCTCAGTAGATGTCCTTTCCGGGGATGGCCACGTTAGAGTTATCTCAGCCCACAAATGACACCAAATAAAAGATTTCCCGCTACACTGACCGTTACGCGGTGCCATAAAGCTGGTTCTCTTGCCCTATGGATGCAGCATGTTTTGGAAGCGATGTGCAGATTCTCTAGTCTTGGATGTCCCTCCTACATCCAACTCTATTGCCAGTAAACTCTATACAGACAGTGACAGTCTTGGATGGCGCCAAATCTTGCCAGCTACACATCTGTCGATATCAGGGTCCCAGTCTTGCCACAATCATAGTTCGACTCTTGCTGCTTACTTTTCAGCAAACTTGCACGTAGTGCTCCGTCAAGGAAGCGTGATTTTTTTCATGCCGGCAGAAAGGAATCTCAGTTGGAGTGAAAAAGGTCATATGGGATTTTTAAAGTCAAAACACAGCTTAGTGAAATAAGTTGCCGTCTTGCCAGCATCCGCTGATTTCTTTTATAAGTTGATCCTGAAGGAAAAACGGTGAGTTTCAAAATGGGTATGCGAAAGTACGCTGTTTTTTTCGGAATAAAACCGAATTTCACGAAGGCGATTGGATCATAACTGTACGGTGAGGGTTTATCCCAGGCTTGTTTTCGAATGAGTTGCTTCAAGTTATGACTTTCCTTACCGCTGAATTCCGGATTTATGAAATTGATAAGGTTACATTACGCAGCCATTAGAAAAGGTAAAACTTCATGAACTCGTAGATCCAAAATCCCTACTATTTGACGCTCGTTCTCAAAACCATTTAATTTTTATCTTGATTTTAGAGGGTTTCTGGATATCATACTTTAAAATCATTTTCTCCTGTTACAATGGCTGGAATTTCGACACAAATTATGATTAAGTACAAAGTTTCAAGCCATTGGTAACCTGGTTTATAAAAAAAACTACTCACTACCAGAAGTCTGCAACTGGATACCTCATTGAAGACGACGAAAACAGATTCACCAGTCATACTGGTCCTACAGTTTGACACCATCATCATAGCACGTTATAGATTTAAACAAATCATGCATCTGTAAGTATCTCAACCAACAAATATACCTGAAAAAGGGAGTTCACAGCAACGCCACTGTTCAAGATAATGCGCAGTCGATCGGCGTATTTTTATGGGATGTTGAATTCACCGTCGGAACTACACTTGGACACGCAAACTGTTCGGAATCTGTCGTGGCTGCGAGTGATGATGTTTCACTCAAATGGATGAAACAAAAGGAGGACCTCAAGTAGCGAAGATGTTCCAACGGAAACATTCTTGATCAATGCATGCTACAAACAGCTTTCAGTGTGTTATGACAACTGCACAGAAAAGCTCTAGTTTGCCCACATGTAGCCTTGAGTTAAATCTGTGCTGCCGCAATTCAAGGCAAACTGGCAATGTAGTGATGAAGAACCAGATTTTCAGAGAACGTTACCAACTACACTGTTAGATGAATTTGAACTTCTTGCTACTAAGCGATTGTTCAAAATTGTTTGTCAATGAATACAGTGCAACTGCTCGGTAATTCGGTAATTCAGAAAACACTCGATAATCGTATGTGCTCATTGATTTCTCCGCGAACGGGGAGTAAGCATTTTATTTGATCACCTCCTCAACTAGACTGTACTGCTCGGACCAATTTCGACAATTTTCTCGGAATCCTGATGATCACTGTATTTGCTACTATCTGCAGAGAACTAAACATTTTCTGGAATTGTTACGGTGCATACTATCGATAAAACATGCAAGTGATGGCTGCTCAAGAGCCTCTGCATCTAACTGGAGGTTAATACGCAAATTACTGAACCGCACCGCAGCGTTTGACAGCGTCCATGACAGCTTGTCAAAAACTCCGTGTAAATGAGATGTTTCTTTTCGTGTCTGATAGCTTGTACCCGTCTACTTTGTGGTGGTTGCTTAAAAACTCCGCTTCTACGGGAGCTTTTTCTTTCACTGGAAGGACACTGTCAATGCAGAACGACAGAGAATTGGATCAAGAGCTTCAGAACGCTCGGTCAGCATATTCTAACTTGATGGCGATAAACCAGCCGATACAGGAGGATACACCCTAGTAATCCGATTCCTTCCGTTGTTGTCAACCTTTAACCACCAGTTTACTCACTGCCATATTTCCTCTAATTTGGCGCTTTTGAACCGGTGGTTTGAACATCCATTTCGTCCCATCTTTGAGCACCGCTGGAACGTACTGTTAACGGTCTAACCTTTTATAACGCGACAGGATAAATCAAACAGCCCAGAATTAACAAAGAAATAACAAACTATTGGCCAGTGTCTAAAGCGAACTCATGTTGTGTGCACTGTGTTCCTAATTAAAGCTTTAATTTGTCATTTACGGCAGCCTACAGACCAACGGTCCAACTTGGCAGTCTGCTGAAAAAAAATAAAAATTACCTAAGTAAAATCATTACAACTTAATTTAAAATTGGAGGATGAAAACGTCCTGTCACCAGCCAAGAGATTCAAGCTTGTCATTTTATTTCTCCCAGTTTCCTAAGAAATTCACTTCTAAATTGGTCTCTTCAGTCAAACTGAAACGAAAGTGAAGAACCATGGTG